AATCCCAGTTTCTACGGTCTTAGCGACGTGAGCCACGAGGGACTTAGCACGTTCCTGTCAGAGCTGGTGGAGAACACATTGAAGGAGTTGTCAGAGGCAAAAATTATTGACGTTGATGAAGAAGATGATAGCGTTTCGCCTTTGAACGCTGCCATGATCGCTGCTTACTACAACATCTCGTTCATCACAATGCAAACATTCTTGTTGTCACTCTCGTCCCGGACAAAGCTCAAGGGCATCCTGGAGATTGTGACCTCGGCGACTGAGTTCGAGTCTATCCAGATGCGTCGCCATGAGAATCATATTCTCCGCCGCGTATATGATCGTGTACCGGTCAAGATGTCAGAGGTTTCCTACGACTCTCCTCATTTCAAGGCCTTCGTCCTCCTTCAGGCCCACTTCTCCCGCATGCAGCTCCCTCTTGATCTTGCTAAGGATCAGGAAGACATTGTTCGCAAGGTCCTCAACCTACTGAGCGCTTGTGTGGATGTACTCTCCTCCGAGGGTCATCTCAACGCGATGAATGCAATGGAATTATCCCAGATGGTGGTTCAGGCCATGTGGGATCGTGACAGCCCTCTGAAGCAGATTCCCCACTTCTCTCCTGATGTGATTAAGGTGGCCAATGAATACAAGTATGTATCGTCAGAGAAATTTCCACACACATTTGCTAATTTGCCTGTGAACAGGATCAATGATATCTTCGAATTCATGGAGGCCATGGATCCATCGGAGAACAAGGACTACGCTACTTTGGTCAAGCGCCTCGGCTTCGATAACAAGCAATTGGCACAGGCTGCGGCTTTCACCAACGAGAAGTATCCCAACATTGAGCTTGACTTTGAAGTTGAGGACCCCGATAGCATCACTTCAGGCGAACCCGCATATCTCAAGGTCAAGATCGAGCGGGACATCGAAGAAGATGAGGAGCCCGATGCTACTGTCCACGCACCATTCTACCCCAGCCAGAAGATGGAGAACTGGTGGTTGGTTGTTGGTGATGAGAAGACCAAGAGCCTGCTGGCTATCAAGCGGGTCACCATCGGTCGCAAGCTCGAGCTGCGTCTGGAATATGTGGTCCCCACACCTGGAGACCATGGGTTGACGCTCTACCTCATGAGCGACAGCTATGTTGGTGTGGATCAGGCTCCTACGTTCAGCGTCAATGCGGCAGAGGGGATGGACGAGGATGAGAACGAGGAGGAAGAAGAAGAAGAAGAAGAAGAAGAAGAGTAAACGTCATGATCTGGTTTTGCAATTTGTAATAATAGCTTATATTTCTGAAGCCTTAACGTACAAAAGGTGTTCCATATTACTTTGCTTTTTTTTCGATGTAACACTAGATCTCATTTTCGTACATTCACCACTTCATCTATAATTTATATAATATTACTAGCATGGAGATTACACCAGGCGAGAGCTATCAACGTCATGAAGCCTAACGTGTCAGCCAACTGAGACATCCTTTCCACAGTGCCAATCGTTTCCCTCAGCATTCGAAAGACAAGCAAAAGATATTCGAATTATAATATATACGTAGGAAAGCACTGAATTCCCTGTTTTTCCCCTCTTTCTCTTAGAGAAACACCCCACACTTCGTCGGCAAGTATTGCTATGCTATTCCGTACAGTGACCCTAATACGATACATAAACATAGATAGTTATTAGCGAGCAATAGAATAAATATCGGTCACAGCCTCACCTCTAAATTTATTGAGTTCTTTAGAGTCGATTATAAAGACAGATTACATAATGCAAAAGACAGTTTGGCGGAGTGGTTAACGCGCTTGCCTCGAATGAAAGCAAGTCCATTCGTGGGCGCATGTTCGAATCATGCAGCTGTCGATATATTCTTTTTTCCATTTCTTTTTCTCAATCGGGCTAGAAATGGACATCCTGAGATTCGCTATAGTATGTGTATATATATATGTGTAGTAACTCTTGACCCGAAAGTTCAATTAATTTATATGTATTATTTGTAGTACTTTGTACGGTACTCGTACGTAGCAAGAATACCCCCAAGCAAGTCTTACCGCTTGACCCGATCAGGGTAACCCCCGGCATGATCACGTTGCTCAACCTCCTCTTCTCCAACTCCTCTCTTGCCTATTCTCACCCTATTTCTTTTTTCAATATCATCTCAATAGCATTCTAAGTCGCGGTCTACATATTTTGTTTAGCACATATTTTGTTCATCCCCAGACTCTGTTGATATCTTCATTTAAGCTCCATTCAACCCTGGGAGCACCCCGAGCTTCCTATCTTATCTCCATACGATCTGATATGGCCATTCGGACCATGAAGTTCACTCCCGAGTGAGTAGTGTTGATACACTCGACAAGCTGAGATCAATCTTTCTTGAGCATATTCAAGATCACTAGACTGACATTGATCCCTCTAGGGTTCTGCTCGGAGCACCCAGGAGGTCCTCAGCCATCCCTAATGCGGCCGGCACCCTAGCAGTCTACACGCAGACATCCTACTCCTTCGAGTCCCATTCCAAAACCAATGAAATCCGCGTTATAGATATCAGTTCTGGCCGATCTGCCCTTATCACCAACGACCCTGGCGCCAGTAACCCACAGTGGGTGGACGACAGCGACAAACTAGTCTGGCTAAAGAACAAGGGCAACGGCAACACAAGCTTCATCGTCGGCGATTCCCGCCAGGCTGATGAGACATACACTGCAGGCACTGTCCCAGGTCCCGTATCGGATCTGAAGGTGGTCCTGATTGAGCCAGGAAAGGTTGGCTTTGCCGTGACAGGCAAGGCCAATCCGGACGGATCGCTGTACAATCCTCACGATGCGAAAAAGCCATATACAACCGGTAAACTGTACACGTCTCTATTTGTTAGACACTGGGACTCGTATGTGGAACCTCAGAAGAATGCGATCTTCTATGGCTTGCTGGAACAGGCTCCTCTGTCACCGGCCCGTAGACAGGCTGGGAAGTATTCCGTATCGGGCCTCACGAACTTGATTGCGGTCACAGGACTCGCGGGGGTCGAGTCACCGATCCCACCTTTTGGTGGTACTGGCGACTTTGATATTAGCCCGTCAGCTATTGTGTTTATTGCGAAAGATCCTAACCTAAACCCTGCGACTCATACTTCATGCTCGTGTTACTATGCTCCTATGTTCTCGTGGACTAGCATGAGCGAGCCTGAATTGAAGATCTGCAAGGTTGCCGGTCTTCAGGGAGCGATGTCGTCTCCTGTGCTGAGCTCAGACGGTAGCTCTATTGCCGTTCTGGCGATGCGCGAGGATGGCTACGAATCTGATAAAAACCGTATCCTGTATGTTCCAAACCCGTGGAATGGGGATATGATCGAAATTTTCCAGTCGGATGATGGTGAGGGACTCTGGGATCTCAGTCCCTCGGTCGTGTCGTTTGCTCAAGATGACAAGTCGCTGCTCCTTCACGTCGAGGAGGCTGGCCGTGGAGTTCTTTACCAGCTGCTGTTAGAAAATGTGCACACGATCAAGCCCGATTCTCTAAAGAGACTGACCAGGTCAGGATACGTGAATGACGCCGTTCCCGCAGCTGTCAAATCCTCCAAGCTACTCGTGTCTAGCAGCAACCTGGTTGATAACAGCCTGTGGACTATCATCGACCCAGCCAACCCAGATGATGTCCAAATGGTATCCTCAAACGGACGGGGCGGCAGTGCATTTGGTTTGTCCTCATCCCAGGTTGATGAGATCTGGTTTAAGGGAGCCGAAGACCACCCGGTCCACGCGTGGGTGGTGAAGCCATCCGACTTCAAACCCGGGAGTAAATACCCGCTTGCGTATTTAATCCACGGTGGACCCCAGGGTGCGTGGAACGATCAGTGGAGCACGCGCTGGAATCCCGCTGTTTTCGCCGAACAGGGTTATGTCGTGATCACCCCCAACCCAACAGGTAGTACTGGTTACGGTCAGCCCTTCACCGACGGAATTCAGGGACAATGGGGCGGTCGGCCCTACGAGGACCTGGTCAGGGGATTCGAGTATATCGAGCAGCACCTAGATTACGTCGATACCACGCGCGCGGTTGCACTGGGTGCCTCATACGGTGGCTACATGATGAACTGGATACAGGGAAATCTGCTCGGGCGCAAGTTCAAGGCGTTGGTAACCCACGACGGAGTGTTTAGCATGACCTCCCAAATGGCTAGTGAAGAGCAATACTTCCCTCTGCACGACCTGAAAGGGCCAATCTGGAAGGTGCCTGAGAACTGGGCGAAGTGGGATCCGTCTCGGTTCACGGAACACTGGAACACGCCTCATCTGATCATTCACAACGAACTGGACTACCGTCTGACTATTGCTGAGGGTCTGGCTGCGTTTAATGTGCTCCAAATGCGCGGGATTGATAGTGCGTTCCTGACGTTCCCTGACGAGAATCATTGGGTTCTAAACCCTGAAAACTCGCTCCTGTGGCACCGGACCGTTTTGAACTGGATTAACAAGTACGTGGGCCTTCCGCCAGTGTCAGAGGAACCCGATATATCACGCGGAATGGGCAGTTTGTCGCTGTGATAACAGTTGTTCTCTTTGATTTGGCAGTTTGGGCCAATGAGCGGGGGCTAAACTTGAATATGAAACACCCATGCTGGATATTTATGAACATGGTTATTGTTCTTTTCTTGGAAACAAAGGCTAAGGAGGATGTTCTGCATGAAAGCCGCCTTGATTGGCGAGCTCATAACGCTGTCTTTGTAGTATTAAGAAGAAGCTGTTTCGGAAGGTTTCATCTCATTGTCGACGGTTTCTTTGAAGATTTCGACAATCGCATACATTTCGTGTATATAAGTGTCCTCAACTTCCTCAATTTGCATTTTAGTTCATACATTGCATTGCATACCTTTGCATAGAGAGTGTGCCCTACTCAGCCTTTCAAGCGTTATTCACTTGAGCCTTATATCAATATAAGTATCACCACTAGAGTATAATTTACTCTGTGATTCATTTGAACTTCCCCTTCCAAGCTTCATTTACGCAGCTCCCAACAAAATGGAAAATGAACCCACAACCCCCAACTCCCCCCACAGCATCAGCTGGCTCTCCGAACGAACGCTCTCAATTTCCACCACATCAACCACAACCCTAGCAGACCCTCTAACCCCAATGAGCATCTCCTCAAGCGTTTCAAGCGTATGCCTAAGCGTCTCCTCAAGCATAGACCTCACCGACTCCCCATTCCCAATCGAATACCCCAAAATCCCCTTCCACAAGAGTCCAAACTTCCACCCCCATTTTTTGCCCCTCCTGCGTCACCTGTCCGCTAAACTATGGCCCCTCGTCAATAGCGAAACAGGCCTTCACCACCCGGACTTCCCACCAAATATGCTGGCCTACAACCTTCTGACCTCGGACCAGGTCAATAACCTCGCCCGTAATTTCCATCAGGTCTACCCACCTGTTACCGCTACGTTTAATTATCCTGTTTATATTAAACCATGGATTGGAACGGAGGAAGAGGAGACTATTGGTCTACCTACAAGGGTGAAAAGGATGGGGAGATTTTTTGGGCTTAGGGGGTGTGAGGAGGAGGACGTGGATATGGATATGGATGAGGATATTGAACAAGAACAAGAATATGACCATGGGAATGAGGAGATGAGTGAGAGTGAAGCTGAGGTATTACGCCAGATGGAGATGGAGTGGCAGCAGGCATTGCAGAGGGCATATACTGAGGAGTCGCATCGGTGGAATTTGAAGTGATTCCTTTTTTTTTCCTTATTTTTTTTCTTCTCTTTTTTTATCCTTTAAAGATATAAAACAAAACATGTACACTGTGAAGCATCTAGGCTATAATCCCCCGCTGATCTTCCCTCTCAAGACGGACTTTGCGCCGTGGCATGCGCATTTGTTTTAGCCGTCGGTTAAAGAACTTATAGAGAGAAGACATAGGCTAATAGTGGGATAATGAGGGGTATAATGTGGATATTATGGAGATAATACAGGGTCATAGTCTAATATTGGCATGGTGGAATAGTGAAGAATAGAATATTAATATCCTTCAATGCCCACTTTACATCTACCATCTAATCCACTCCACAGCCCTATAACCATCACCATATAATAACCACCAAAATGTCCAAACCCCTCGTCACCCACATCTACACAGCCGACCCTTCTGCACACGTCTTCAACAACAAACTCTACATCTACCCCAGCCACGACCGTGAAACAGAAATCCAATTCAACGACAATGGCGACCAATACGACATGGCCGACTACCACGTCCTCTCCATGGACAGCATCACCAGCCCTGCAACCGACCATGGCGTCGTCCTCCGCGACAAAGACATTCCCTGGGTCTCAAAGCAACTCTGGGCACCAGATGCTGCGACAAAAAATAATAAATTCTACCTCTTCTTCCCAGCCCGCGATCAAAAAGGCATTTTCCGCATCGGCGTGGCTATCTCGTCCTCCCCGGAAGGTCCCTTCGTCCCGCAGGATAATTATATCCAGGGCTCCTACAGCATTGATCCTGCTGTCTTCGTTGATGAGGAAGCTGGCGGTGAGGCGTATCTCTATGTTGGCGGGATTTGGGGTGGACAGTTGCAGTGTTGGGTTGAGGGGAAGAAGGATGCTGGAGGTGCAGATGCGGAATGGGTTGATGGGGATGAAAGTGGTGTTGATGGACGGAAGAAGAGACTTGTTTTCGATGAAAGTATGTCTGGTCCCCAGGAGCCAACTGGAGAGGGTGTTAGGGCGCTTTGTCCGCGTGTTGCGTTGTTGAAGGATAATATGCTGGAGCTTGCATCGTCGGTTAAGGAGGTTGTTATTCTTGCTCCTGAGACCGGAGAGCCTTTGTTAGCGGATGACCATGAGAGGAGGTTCTTTGAGGCCGCTTGGGTGCATCGCTACCAGGGGACGTATTATTTCTCTTACTCGACTGGTGATACGCATTTCTTGGCTTATGCCACGGGGGCATCACCTTGGGGTCCGTTTACTTACCGCGGACGCATTTTGAATCCTGTGCTTGGGTGGACGACGCATCATTCGATTGTTGAATTCCAGGGGAAGTGGTACTTGTTTTATCATGACTGTGAGCTTTCCAAAGGAGTTAGTCATTTGAGGTCAGTCAAGGTTAGAGAGATTGTTTATGATGACGAAGGGGCTATTCATCTTGCCGAGGAACAGATTTCTATGGAATAGATGGCGGGGCATGGGTTAGCATCTAGGTTTGATATTATTTTTTGCCTTGAATCATTTATCACTATGCAAGTGGAATGTAACTGTCTAATCTAGTTTCCCATGCCCTTCTCCCAATTCTCTTGGGCCAGCTTCCAGTCCACGGGTACTTCTCGTGAGATCGTTCGCGGAAGGTCTTTCCAACTTTAATCATCAAGAAGAATACCGAAGAGCATGCCATGCCGACAAAGGCAGCAGAAATAAAGCAATTTTGGTACCCCAAGTCTTTGACCTAAGGCGTGACGCTAGATAAAGTTAGCTTTTGTCTTCTAGAACTCGAGAAAAACCTCTGAGATAGCAAATGACATGTTAATCCGGACCAGCATCATAGTAGCCATAGCAACAGAACATCGTATTCAGACCTTTTCTCGAAGTCCAAAGCGCCAATTTTTGAATATAAGTCTTCTTAGTGTAAACTGTACCCGTCTCAGCAGCTTCAGTGCCAACAACCGCGGATTTCTTCTCGCCGTCCTCCGAGCTGAGTTTTGGCGAGTGGGTGCGTGCACAATTGTTAGGCTTGATGCTCTATCGAACATGGGTGGTTTCCTCGCAAAAAAAAAAAAAGAAGAGGAAGAAGATTGAACAGCCGATGAAGATACTAGGGTAGTAAAACACCCACCGCCAGCTGTGGTACTGGGCGATGAAGCCACAGTTGACGGATGCGATGTAATTGCTTCCTGCCAGACATAATGTGTAATTGCCCATGTATTTCCCTCGCTGGTGGGTGAAATACTGATATTCTGTGAGCACGGATTCTTTTATTAAGGCAGTTTCAACTTACCACGCCCGTGACGGAGATTTGATGGGGCGCTTCTACGGGCGCTGTGAAGAAACCTAATAGGATACATCGTGCAAGCCATTGACAGGTTGTGCTTGCGTATGGTCTGAGTGGTGTTAGTATACTTTGTCTCTCATTGCGGGCGTTCTAATTCTTCCGCCCACATCGTCATGGCCTGGGTTTATCCTTAGCTATAACTTTCAAGTGATATCCAACGAAGGGATGACGTACCAAAATTCCACACATGGACAGCAAGTAAGTCGGCCGCTCGTCATACTGCATAGCAAAGGGCTGCCAGAATAGCAAACCCCAACCAGCCAACAAGAACATGTACCCAGTTCCTTCGTTTAGAGTACTGATGGGAAACCCCGTTTGTTCGCCTCAGTACCGAGTAAACAACCGAGCAGACAATTCCTCCGAACCCGTATATCTCTACATATATATCAATCCCCGCAGATCAACAGATCGGGAGATATTCTGTAGAGACTGAGATACTACGGAAATCATAGACCGAAAAAATGAAAAAAATGAACTTCCTATCATTTCCCCCGCAAAACTCGGTCTTGGCGAGGGCTTATTTTTTTTTTATAGGGATGGTCGCTTATACCTTGTGATATCTTTTTTAGCAGGCTTTTTGGATGGTCTTCTTAGATATTCTTCTCAGGTATCTTTTTTTTAAAGATGTTTTTCTTCTCCATCTCGTCTTCATAGCCATAAGGGGAAAAAAGCACAAACTGTGTAGACGACTTTTCTATGTATACCTACAAAAGTAGGCAATCTTTGATCTTTGACCTATACCTTTCAACCAATCATCACTCCAATTAAATGTGGAGAACATTGGCGTTTAGTCCGATTCTTATCAGAAACATTCATTGAGCAGTTCAAATGTTGCTCAGCTTAACCCCCCAACTCCTTCGATAGCCGCCATAGATTCTCTTCCTCTTACGGTCTAATGCCCTCTACCCTTTCAGGAAATGAACGACTCAATCAATTCTTGGCTTCGTCTCCATAGCGCCTCTGCACTTTCTTCGCCCGCTGGAAAGTCGAGATGCGGTAAATTAGGTGTCTGGCAATGATCAAGAAACGCTCCAGATTGGTCTGATATCTCGTATTCAACAATCAGTACATCCATATACAAATCAATATCTGTTCATCACATGGTTATCTTATGATCTTACCTTCAAGGTCTGGATCGAGTAATCCGCGCAAGACTGTTGCACTACCCTGACCAAGAGACTTCGGCGCTTGCTGTAAAAGGACCGGTATATCTTCACCCACTGAAAAAAGGAAATACTGTTAGATCGAAGAATCTTCACCGCTATTCGCTATCTGGACATACATTCTTTCTTCCGCTGCAGCCAGGACTTGATCTCCTCCATTGCAACGTATGTTTGGATGTTGGTTTTGGTATCTGGATCGAATCAGAATAAATACTGAAAAGCTCACTCACAAATTGACTCACTTCCTGGATTTGCAGAAAATGCAGCGATAGATCGATCACTATACTTCTTCGCAAGAGACTTGATAAACAAGATAATCGCGAGCATCGACTTCGAGTATCCGTCGAGGCAGTTGTAATTTTCTCCATTCTATCCAAATCAGCATCTACCACCAGCGTATAACCAAATCGACCAAACCAAACTCACTTCAAATTCCAAATCATCCCACGAAGGTGCAGGTGCCTCGTTCCGCAGACTAGACGTAACCAGAACAACCCTCGACCCAAGCCCCATAACATCACACAGCAGATTTAGCGTCAGGAAATAACATAGGTAATTCCTCTGGAAATGAGACTCGAGTCCGTCCTCCGTGAGCGTCCACGGTACAGCCATGACCTCGGGAAACCCAACGAAGCCATCAATGGTCATGCCCAGCTTCCTGATATTATTCGCTGCCTCACGGACCGAAGCCAGGCTGCCAACGTCGGCCGTCACAAAGATCATTTTGACCATTTTGTATTTCCGATTGATGTGGTCAACTACTGGCTGTAGTTCGGACTGTGAGCGGCCTGTATATATTATGGTTCCTGCGCCGCCGTGAGCGAGGGCGTCTGCCGTTGTTGCGGCTAGGTCGCCTCGTTTAAGACCGCATATTAGGACTGTCGTGGCGGGTGTTAGTTTATATACCTGGTCTGTTGGGGTTATGGTGGTACATGTTTTTCCCTTCACCCGGTCTGGGAACGCCTTCGTCACATCTGTCCCCTGTGTCTCACCATTAAAGGTACTCATTGCTAGATTCTGTCTGTTTGGTTTGGGTTGGTTGGGTTGAGAGAGGTCTGCTTGATTAGAGTCGTGGACAATCTCGGCATTTCGTCATTATGAAGCCATCTCGGAGTGTATGTTCGGCAATACATGGAGAGCAGCGACTAGAGCGAGTAATACTAGAGTGATAAATATCGAATGGAATTATGGTTTGCAACTTATAATAAACACGCTGGATAACTCCGAAGAGCAAAAAGTAGACATTAATCAGCCCTGGTAAGAAAATCAAATGCACATTTATAGTACAGCTAAAGAGATCGCACGCATATGGAGCCTGCCGGTCAAAGGTTAAGAACGAAGACGAAATAGGAAATGTGTAAGATCAGTGAGATGGACCCGCCGCATCATCATCAGGCATCTGGTCAATAACACCCTTCATAAGCTCAATAAGCTCATCAATGTCCGGGCGTTCCGCGGGTTCAACAGTGAGACACCTGCGAACAATATCCTTGACTGGTGCGCTGATCGCAGGGACATCGTTTTTGGATGCATCCTCACTTTCGCCAGACTTAGTTTTACCCTTAGAAGCACCAGACTTCTCATCAGGGAATCGCCAATCACCACCAAGAACGCACATGCTCAAACTACCACCAGTCTCTTCACTGCGTGCCTCGAAGGGACTCTTGCCCACGAGACAGGCGTACAGTGTGCAGCCTAACGACCAGATATCAACCTTGGTATCAATGATCGACCCTGTCTTGACATCGAAGAGCTCTGGTGCGCGGTATGGCATCGTGCTATGTTCTGCTGCGGTATCCTGCACCGCCAAGGCGAGGGAGCGCGACGTAATGGCAATCGGGCTGGGTGCTAAAGAGCCCAGATCCATCAGGATGGGTGATTGGCCATTGTCATCGATCATAATATTTCCTGTACCGACAGTTAGCTCGTCAAGTTGAATAGAATTTCTGCACCTACAGGAATGTTAACTCACCAGGCTTCACATCTCGGTGCGCATAGGGGCGCAGGTCCCCATCTTCGACACCTTCCTGACTCCGGGTGACCTCGTCATCCATGAGGGGTTCATTCTCCTCATCCTCTTCATTCCCAGTCATGTGATGGCTAGCCTTTCGTTTGGGTTTCATCTGCATGGTCCGTTCATCGTCAGCCTCCTCTCCTTCTCCCCGAACTCCCTTCGCCTTTCGTGTAGATGTCGCCCCGCTCTTAATCCGGTACTGATGCATCGCACGGAGTGCGTCAGCAACACCGAGTATCAGGACCATCAGCCGCTTCTCGGGGAACTTGGTATGGTTGACCAGATTGGCATTGATGGCATCCTGGAGATTACCGCGCTGGTAGTATGGGAGTAGGATATAGACAGTCTTCGAGCCTGGATCTCCGCCGTCGGATCTGAATTTTGAGCCGGATTCTGTGGACACGCAGTGGTCGATTGAGTGGATGATGTTGGATTGGGAGTTGAAGAGGTTGTAGGCTTCGACTTCTTTCAGGGCTTGCGATACGGATTCTTGACCAAATGGACAACGGATCTTCTTCAGCGCGAATAACTCGGAACTTGTTTTATCTTGGACTAGGTAGACATAGGAAAATCCGCCCTATTGCGTTGTCAGTTCAGACCAGCTTGCAGTTATCGTTATCGGGTATCCATACCTCGCCCAACAAACGTAGGAGCTTGAAATTCCGATTGTTGATCTTTAGCTGTGGGGAGCTAGGGAAACAACACATGCAATCCGTGAAGTTGTACAGGAGGTCGAAGAAGTATTGCGCCATAGTTGTAGAGTGCGATGGTACGTAGCGGGTGTCGGTATTTGGGGTCCAGTGGCGTGCGGCACACGGTAGGTGGTAGATGCGCAGGGACTCAGACAGAATGGACAAGATCGTCGCAGTAGATAGATGTGTGTCTTGGGAGATGCAGAGAAGTAAGGATTGTATAACTATGCAAAGAGGAGATGGTGGAAGTTGGAAGTGTCAATGGTTGGCATTACGTGGAGTGGAGTCCTTTTATTTGTTGTCCCCCCTTTCTCTTGTTGTTATATCGCGGATTTTCTCGATCACTCTCTTTTTTCCCTCATATTCTAACTGGTTAAGCTGAATACTGGTTGGGTCTGTCTTTTTCCTTTGTTTCTCTGCCTTTTTCTTCCCAAACGCCATGGTGGAAGTTGGGCCGTCAACTTAATATCCTTGCATTCTCCTGACGCTCCCTCTACAACCCTTGACTTTGACCCTTCCAGGGGCTCTTGATATTCGCCCGGTCCTCTTATTTAAAAGCCGCATCCCACCTTTGTATCCTATTCATATCCACCCCCATATCCTTCCCAATGGCGCACGATGATGTACGTGTTGGTGACAAGGTGAATGTCCCCGGTGGCATGCATGGGACCGTCAAATACCTGGGAGCAGTAGCGGGGAAGCCCGGACGATTTGCAGGAGTCGAACTGAGCTCCGAGCATGCGCAAAGAGGCAAAAACAGTGGCGATGTCGATGGCCGGAAGTACTTTGTAACCTCGATCCCGGGTGCTGGCATATTCGTGCCCATGAACAACAGCAAATACGTCACAAGGCGATCCTCAAATATCTCTACACCGAACACTCCTGCACGTGGGGGACCAGTCAACTTCAGCAAATCTGTCGGTGCAGCTCTTACTACTCCTCGCCCTCGAGTCCGACGACCCTCTCTCCCTCGACCCGAATCCCCGCGCGTGCCCCCTCCAAAACTAAGCCTGGCCGGCTTGCGTACCCCATCAGCAGCATCGAGAACCAGTGGGTTGAATAGCGCCATGCGGAGCCCCGTCAAGGCGCCGTCTCGGCTATCTGATAGACCCTCGTCGCGACTTAGTGTGGATGACGATGCTTCATCGTATGGACGGCCATCGGATTTCCGCCGACCACTCTCATCGGAGACTCAAGAATTGAAAGATCAGATCAAGAGTCTAGAGAAGCAACTTCTGGACCGAGACACGCAGCTCGACGAGCAGTCTGGAACTTTGAGTGAGTTCCAGAAGACCTTGGAGGAGTTGGAGGGACCGGATGGTCATTCAGTCCGTACACAGCTACGCGAACGCAATGAGCGGATTGTCCAATTAACAGCCGAATTCGACGTTCATCGTGCAGACTTCAGAAGCACCCTCGACACATTGGAGATTGCAGCCTCCGAAACGGAACGCGTCTACGAGCAGCGCCTCGACGAGCTTATGCAGCAGAACAAGGAACTACAGGACCGTGGCGAAGATGTTGAGATTGTTGCGCAGCAGCTGAAGCAGTTGGAAGAGCTGGTCTCGGAGTTGGAGGAAGGCCTCGAGGACGCCCGGCGTGGAGAGGCCGAGGCTAGGGCCGAAGTCGAGTTTCTCCGCGGCGAAGTCGAGCGAACCAAGCTGGAGTTGAAGAAAGAGCGTGATCACTCAGCCGCTGCGCTGAAAGATGCACACGCCGGAGACGGACCCCGAAACAGTAGTGAATTGGACCAGAAGGATGATGAGATTCGAGGACTCAAGGCCATTATTCATTCTTTGAGCCGTGGAAATCCCAGCGTAGCAGGCTTGGGACAGAATGGCTCGGCGGATTATGACCATAATCCGGAGCACGTTACTCAGCTGGAGATTCGACTGCAAGAGGTGGAAGAAACTACAAACCGCAAAGATAACCGGATCGAAGAGCTCGAGCGTGAACTTCAAGAAATGCACCTACAGTCTAGTGGTCGTCGCCGCAGCTCTACTATCACTCTTTCACCAAAGCAACATAAGCCATCGCACTCTGCGGGCAATATCTCCAATCACTCAAACAATAACCCCAACCGTCTCTCTGACCGGACAGTGGTCCCGACTGACTGGCACGATGCTCCTTCGGAGCCCCGCCATCATCGTGGTATCTCCAGCTCTTCTCAATCGCGACTGGAGACCATGCATGAATCAGAACGCTCTTCCGACGAGGATACCATGTGGTGCGAGATCTGTGAAACAGGCGGCCACGACATCCTGAACTGCACCAGCATGTTCGGCTCTGGCCAGAAGACTGCTGAAAAAAAGAATCTCACACATGATGCTGCCGACGAACTTGCCGATGAGCACTCAGTTGAGAAGACAGAAACTCTTCAGTCCAAAGAGTCGTCCATCCATGCCGATACTCCCCCCGCACTAAAGACAGGACGGGATGTGGTCATGGAAGGACTGAAGGGCATCGGCGGGCTCGGCTTATCCACGGCTCCCATTGCCGGCAAATCATCGGGGGTCATCGATGAGTCTAAGTGGTGTGCTCTCTGTGAGCGAGACGGCCATGAGAGTATTGACTGCCCGTTTGATGAATAATGTTCTGGATATGGATGGGTTCGGTACACCACACAAGATCGCAGCTCTCTGCTTCATGCATATATGGGGTGTTTTCAAGTACATGATTTGTTGGGTTACCCCCGGTTAATAACTGGTGTTTGTTTTTGTTTATTTTTTGTTTTTCGGAGGCTGGAGATTCCTGGGAGGTGACTTGGGGGGAAGGGGGGTGGGTTTGTGCCTCTCAGGAAAGCAGAGGATTTGCACGGTGAGGCTCAGTGCTTGTAACAAATACCATACCTTTGGTCATAATAAGATTTCGTTCGTTGGTGTATACAACAGCTTTCCATGTTCCGTATCTCGGGATGACCACGACTTTTGTTGCTGATATGTCGAAGGACCTATACATATCATTCTTTTCTATTTCTGTTTCTATCCATGTCACATCAAATGATGTTGAATTCGTCACTCGTAGCCATTCATGACTGAGAAATATTACAGCTTCACCAACGTCACCCGCCAATGGGCCTGATCAGTGTACTATTCAGGATGAGTCGGTGGCTGCGCAATTTCCCCATCCTGATACTTCGATGCCGCAATCTCTCCACAAGCTTTACATTTGCGCTTTTCCTCGTCTGCTGCAAACTCCTCAACCACAGCCTTGACCTGTGTCCCCAGGTCAACACATACGAACTTCTTCTCCCAGACGATCTCCTTGCAGCTCTTGCAATACCATCTCATAGCATCAACTGCACCTTCGGCCCGCGGTTGCTCCATCACAACACCAACAGTGTCCTTGAAGCGCACGGGGCAGTGTGGGGTGTTGGCGGGCAGCAGGAAGATCGAGCCTTCGTGTATGGGGATGTCTTGGAAACTAGGTGGTGTGGTTGAGGTGTCGACTGTTTTGAGGAGCATTGATCCCTGATATTGGTAGAAGAACTCAGGGGTTGTGTTGATGTGGAAGTCGGTTCGGGCATTAGGTCCGCCCACTATCATCACTGTGTAGCCGGCTGTAGCTGGTGTTGAGGGGTGGTAGACGCAGTAGTTATTGACAGGTGGTTGGAGTAGATGGGAGTTTTCTTCGAGCCTAGATAGATATTAGCAGTTAGCTTTTGTCGGGATAGCTTGCTTATGGGTCGCGTGATAAATCATGGCAGCATTATGTATGTATAGTGGGGGAGGTGTATGTATTGTAAGAAATGTTGGAAGATATGTGAAGCTCATATGGACTGACCATCTGGGAATATTTAGTGCTGGAAGAAGCATTGTGAATATATTAGCGTCTGATCTTGTCAGAGTGTAGCTTTTTGCAGATGTCGCATGAGGTCGGAACACCTAGAATCAAAAACGACGATCTAATCCCCGGAGATATCAGCTTCACCCCGGACTTAAGAATCGGCCCGGATCAACTTCCCTCCGTCAATTTTTCTTTTTCATATCTCGAATCCAACAGCCAGACTAAGGTGTTTAACGGCGAGAGTCTTGATCACACAAAATGGCAACAACTTCTCAACCCCCCTTCGGTTTACATCCCATCACAATCTGGTATATCGGCTGGTCTTGTCCACCCTCACCGGCCGCACAGTCCACATCTCGCAAATTCGTTCCTCGTCGCCCACGAATCCAGGTCTTGCGCCTCATGAAATCTCTTTCCTCCGTCTCCTAGATGCAGTCACCAATGGCTCTCAAATGGAGATCTCATACACCGGAACTGTGCTGGTTTACAAGCCGGGCTTGATCACCGGCAGCATGGCCGGTACTGGAGCCAGCGGCGGCATGATCACCTACGAGATTCCGTCAAACTGTAACCGCGGTCTCAGTTACTTCCTGATCCCTCTCTGTCTGCTGGCCCCATTCGCCAAAGCACCCATGAAGGTGCTCTTCACAGGGCCCGGTGTGATCACTTCGTCGACACAGACCGGCGATATGTCTGTCGACAGCGTTCGCACTGCCATTCTCCCTCTGTACAAACAATTTGGTATCTGGAACAACCTCGAGCTCCGTATCTTGAGGCGATCAAACACCGGCCCCACTGGTAGGGGTGGTGGTGGTGAAGTGCAACTTGTGTTTGGCCACCAAGTCCGTCTGCCGAAGACCCTGCACTTGATGAACGCCGGCCGCATCAAGCGCATCCGTGGTGTTGTGTACTCGGTTGGTGTCTCCGGCTCGAACAACGCTCGTATGATTGAGACCGCCCGTGGTATCCTCAACCCACTCAGCCCTGATACTTATATCTTCTCCGACGTTGCGTCTGCGCCTTTGGTATCAGCTCCGGATAAGACCAATCCCCAGGCGAAGAAGAAGATCGGTCTTGGGTTCGGTTTATCCTTGGTAGCGGAGTCTTCCACGGGCTGCCTCTTCTCAGCTGATGTGGCCTCTCCGCCATCGGGTGGTCAAGCCCCTGAGGATGTTGGAAAGCAGTGTGCATTCCAGCTTCTGGAGACGGTTTCGAAGGGAGGTTGTGTGGCTCCTGCGGCTGCGACGACGATGTTCACACTCATGACCATGGGCTCGGAGGATGTTGGGCGGTTACAGGTTGGCCGAGATGTGATTGCTGATCCCAACGTGATCCAGCTTGCCCGAGACCTGTCCAAGTTCGGTGCCCCTGGCTGGGGTATCCGAGATGCACCTGACAATGGAGATGGTGATGTGATTGTCAGCATTGTCGGCCGTGGAATCGGTAACGTAGGCAGAAAGATTGCCTAAGCTGATGTGGACGGCTCTCGCACTTCATTCCAAGTCTACCATTACTCTGAAGACCGTTCTTGCCAATCCGGAAGTCTCGCCTCAGCAGTTCACTCCTTCCCAGCAGAAGGAACCACGTGGTAGTCCATCAGATGCCGTTGACGTCGCGGGTTTCTGGCCATCTGCCCAGCGCCAGTGTACTCCGAGAAACCCCGACGTTCTAAGGCTGTCGAACATGAATTCGACCTATCGCTCCACAGCGACATAGCCACATGTGCGGCAAAATACTGCTTTTCCTGTCATCATGATACCCATACCAAACTTGCTAGAGCAAGGTGACAATCTTACATAGGATACAATAACCAATAAATATACGTCTTCTATGTACTTCTATACTTCTATGTTGACATTGACATAATGGTGACATACATTTGTACTGGATCAGGTAAAGTAGCAAACTGTATCCTGACTCTTGTTTATAAATACAATCCTCCCCCCCCCCCCCCCCCCCCCAAAATCTTTTTTTTCTCTTCTCTTCTCCATCTCTTTGTTTTCATTTCTTTTTCACCCCCCTCCTATCCCCATCTCCATCCTTCATCATCCTTCATCATCTTCTTCTTCTTTTCCTCCCCCACTCCTTCCCTCTCACTGTCTCCAGATCTTTCGGGTTTTGTGTTGTTTGCTATTTATCCATCGCCTTCTGCTCACCGGTCCCGGGGCAACCTGGTACCGTGCTGGGAAGTGAAGAGACGGACTTCGTCATCATGTTGGTTCTGCAACGTCCTCTACCCCATTCTAATATATTTACCATTTATTCTGCCATTTACCCCAGCGATGGCTCGCACCTCACCGTGGTGCTGGGGTCTAGTAATCCTTCGGGGTGAAGCCAAGACGAGCCCATGCCATTTATTCACTCATCTTTCGGGTTTCTTGTTCAGCATTTATCCCCCGCCTTCTGCTCACCGGTCCCAGGGCAACCTGGTGCCGGCTGAGAAGTGAAGAGAGGGACTTCGCCGCCACCATTTATTCCTCACCTTCTGCTCACTGGTCCCAGGGCAACCTGGTGCCGGTCGAGAAGTGAAGAGAGGGACTTTGTCACCATATCTGCGTTACAATATCTTCTGTCATTCGTCTTACTATTTATCCTGCCATCTCCTGCAATTTCCCCAGCTTTGGCTCGCACCTCATCGTGGTGCTGGGGTCCAGTAATCCTTCGGGATGAAGCCAAGACGAGCCTCTTCAACGTATTTTTCCCTGTAGTGTTCTATTCTGTAATGTTGAGACTTCCAGGTAGGGCTATATGGTAGCGTGATTTGGTTTGTTCTGGTTCTTGGACTTTGTGCTTGTTCACATCAAAGAGATAGGTCTTTTATTTTGATTGGATTACTAGGTAGCTTACCAGATAGTTATGCAATATAATGAAATGATCCTCGTTCTAATGCTATTTATTTCTAGTAGACGCTAAGCAGATGGAAGATCGGACATAACATGAGAGATGCCGGAGATGCAGAAGGGTTCCCACAGGACCAAAACAAAGAAAACAGAATAGTTGATCGCTTTTTCAGTCGAAAGAGCAAAAGGGAAATCAGCAAAATCGAAATGGGAATGGGGAAAAGACAGCGAATGAGATGACAACGGTGTGCAATGAAAGAAGACGAAAGTATGCAAGAAAAGATTGTGCAAGAAGCTGAGAAAAACGTCAAAAGTAACAAGAAAAAAACAAAAACAAAAAATGATGAGAGGCATGAATCCCTCGGTCGGAAAAGTATCTCAGTCCGAGGTATCCTCATCTTTACCAGGATACATAATATCCTGACGGTAGACCGCACGAACATGACTGATGAAGACAAAGAGGAATATGCAAACAATGCAGATAGTCATGGCAGAGCCAACGCCCTTAATCACGGTGCTGTCAAATGCATTTCCAAGCGTAATAGTGGCAATTGAAAACCCCGTATTGGGGAAAACCATCGCCCACCAGCTAAGATGGAAGCTCGTCGGCGGCGACCGAATAACAGCAATAGCGGCAACACAGAAGAACCAGAAGCTCAGCGCCCACAAGAACGCACCCGCCGCTAACGCCAGAATCTCCAGCATCCGTCCATCGGCTGCTGTGTCTTCACTCCCCATTACGCTGAACGTCTCAGGTAGTCCCTGCGCCATACCAACCAGGGCAAGAGCCGTGAATGCGGGCGGTCCAACGCAGATGAACATCGCCGGTCGGTGTTCGCGGCAAGGAAGACCGCTCTCCATCAGCCGTCCTATGTAGTGCGAGTACATCATGAACGAAATGCAGAAGCCCAGACCTTGGAATGTCATCCCCGCGATGACTATTGGGATTGATGCGCGCTCAGGCTGGCGGGACGAGATGACGGATGCGATCGTGCCGCTTAGCATGATTGGGAATGCGGGCAGGATCCACGAGGGCATCATTGTTTGGAGGCGGTAGGTGTGTGCAGTGAAGACGAAGGAGTATTGTACGACGGCGACTGTGAAGGTGCAGAAGCAGTATACCCAGAATAGAACTTCGAGGGTTGTTGTGAAGGATGGGGAGGCGTCGTCGCCGAAGTATTTCTCCAGGCCGGATATCATTGTTGCGATGGAGAGCCAGAAGGTAGGGAAGAAGAGGCCTTCACGTTCATGACGGAGGGAGTTAAGGGCTCCGCCGTGAATTATGAAGCGTGCTGCCATGAGAGAACAGACGAGGGAGAAGAGGACGAGGTTGATTATGTAGATGGCCATACCGACCTCACGGTAGCCTGTAAATTTGTTCGGCTGGTTTGCTATGAGGAGGGCTAGACCTCCGGTACTCATGGTGAGGGTGTACCATGCCCATGTGAAATGTCGCAGACGCTCGCGGAAGCTCAGTGGGTAGTGTTTCTCGGACTTTTCCGAGTTCATGAACGGTTTATCAGAGTGAGAGGACTCTGGTGCAGATATAGGATAAAGTTCTTGGCTGTGGTTATGGTAGACCCCTAGTAGAGTTGGGTTGGACATTGTGTGTCGTGTGTATATAGATCAAATGCAATGAAGTATAGATGAGGCCTCGAGTTGGAACACAAAAAAGAGGAGTATAGAGTGACTTTATTCAAGATAGGACTATAGACCAATGGGTCATAGAATCAATGGAAAAGTAAAGTCAAGTGAACTCAAGGCTTGAAGTGATTGAAGTGATTGAACTGGAAGAAAGAGCGAAAGGGAGATCTTTAATATACCGGGATGGGCATCAAAAACATCCCATATATTCCATATGTTCCATATTCCCTGAAGATCAGCCAAGAAATCCCAAGACTATACTTTTAATAGTAAAAGGAAATATCAGAAACCCCAAAGGGATTCTGTACTGCAATGAAATCACTCGCAGGGGACCTCCCAGAGGCCTCTATGGGCAAGGCAGACCTATGATTTTCCTCTAAAAGAAATCCATAAGAATAGATCGGTCCAGGATGTTGGGCTTGGACGATCCATCATACTCCATATGCATCAGGGGGAGTGGCGGTTAATGGCTTTAGTTTGTAGGGCAATTCCGGAAACAAAGATCCACCTATTCACTGCGGATGTCTGGGCATCAGGCGCATTTTGGCATATACAAAAAAGAAAAAGAAAGAAAAAAAAAACTTCGATGCCTAGGGGGGTTATGAAGTCAAGGACGTGGGACTCTGCCAAGAACATTAAGGAATCATTGGTGCGTAACGCCTTTTCCCTGTGCCGCAATGGATCTGACCTGGTCCTTGAAAGAGTGCCAGTCTGATTGATAATCTATACAAGAGAATTGTGTTCAACATCATAACACACTTTGAATCAGAGACAAGTTACTCAGATGATGAATCTCAAACCCCGATTTCATTCCATTCTGAGCGGTTTATTCCTTATTCCATGACATCTTCCGATAAGAGGATAGATGTATATTCCGTAGGAGAAAAAAAGAAGAAAAAAAAAAGATATAAACAGGGATTTCCAACGTCCAACGTGCCTGGAGCGCCAAATGCCAAGTATATTATGATCGACAGTACATCGTTGACGGTCCGCTGCCAAGCTTTAGTTCAGTGGCTGTGAAGAAGAGATAGGATTGGTATACTAGGTAACACCATTGCGACAGCGCATAGAACAAGTTTAGTAGAGTCAATAGAATAAATAGAATATGCAGACACGCTTAGAAAGTTGATCAAGTTAAAAGAGACAGAGAAGGGTTGAAGAGAAGGACGTACTCTCTCTCCTCTTTTCCCCTGAACTTCTCTTCTCTTCACAGCCCCGTCTACACTATTGACATCGGGATTCTTGCCAAGAATCTATTTTAATATGAATGTTTTGTCGATCAGTCGATCATTTTGAAAGTTGAATTATTGCGAGATTTGCTTATCTTTTGTTATTTGCCAAGATGCCTAGATATATGCAATTCATATGTGGAAAATCCACTTGACTTCAGTCTAGCTCTTATAGAGTCAATTTGATTCGAATCTATCGAATCTATATACATACATATATATATATATATATATGTATGTTCAGAGTAGAGTACTTTGTACAGAGTTTATCAATTGGGATCCTACTGGTCACGTGGAAGCTTACATCCACAACATCCATGATCGATACAATATAAATCGCAGTTTCATTCCAAAAAAAAAAAAAGCCTCTCAGCCAAAACAAAGCCAAGATCATGCAGAACAAAGAAAGATAATGCACTTCGAAAAAGTGAAAATGACAAATCCAAATTATGCAAACGCCAGGTCCCTTCGAAATATCTCCAGGGCAGCAATGCATGAAATCATATCAAGTTTAGTTGTATGCAGAAACCAGAGACACACCAAAAGTCTGGGCACATATGTCCCAGGATCCAATCACATCACAACATTTCACATCATGCGGTAGACAAGATCAGAGGCCAGCTCCGTTGTTAAATCCAACAAAGCACGAAGACTCTTAGGGGAAGTGGAATTTTCAACCCGCTCCACCTTCGCATCCACCGGCCGCAAAGCAGGAGTTGCCGAAACCGAATCATCGCCCGAATGATACCGTGCTAATTCCTTCACGTTACATGCCGCATAATGCACCACCAGTCGGCGAAGCTCGTTCTCCCGAAGCTGCGTCGCGGACGTCGGCGATATCGGCTCCAACCGGGCCGTCTTCGTGTAGGCATAGTGCACCAGCTCTAGCACCATCTGCGCCTTGATTGCTGCCAAGCCGTCTAGAATTTGGGAGTCGCTTGGATCGGCAGTTTCGACATCTATCGAGGAGAGGATGAGAAGGTCGCGGTGCAGCTTTCGGAGACAGAGCTGAGCGAGAGCGGGGATTAGGTACCGGGTGGCGAAGACGTAGACTTTTGCGTGGAACGTGATGTAGGGGAGATCGGTGCTTGGTGCCTCGACTGGGCTGGGCTTGGAGGTGGATGGCTCGTCGTTGTATTGGAGAGATGTGAACTCATCCCATAGGCTGAGCCCTGGCTCGCAGGGTGAGGAGACTTGATGTTGCGCGAAGGACATGTCGAGCATTGGTCTTTGGCGCTGGGTTTGCATGCTTGTGCCTGAGCCTCTGTCTTGAGTCCATGAACTTTCCATCGATCCCTCCGCAATGGGTGCAGGCTGTTCCTCAGCAGGTGCAGGTTCTTCGGCTGGCTGTTCATAATACTTGGTCGGTTCTACTTCTGGTTCTGGTTCTGGTTCTGGTTTTGGTTTTGGTTCTGCTGAAGCTAATTCTTCAACGAGCTCTACTTCTGGCTCTGGAAGAGGCTCAGCAGAAACTTCTGGAGGTGGTGTTGATGGCGGTGTAAGGCTAACAGGTTCAGCTGGTGTGAGAAGTTCTTCTTCGACAAGCTCTGTTTGCTTTTTGCCCTTCTTCCCTTTCTTTACCTTCTTCTTGCTTGCCTTAGGTTCTTCTGGCTCCCATGATAGAGGTTCTTCGGTCGGACCTGCCCATTCCTCGTTGGCAGGCACATGCTCGGCTGGTGGCTCTGGTGCAACCTCCACTTCGTGGCATGTCTCTGGCTTTGGCTCTGCTGCATCGGCTGGAGCCTCGGGCACTGGAGCCGACTCGACCTCAGGCTCTGGCGCATTGGTTGGAGTAACGGGCTCCTTGGCCTCAGCGGGCGCAGGTTCAGACACGAGCTGAGCCATTGGCGGCTCGGGCGAAGCCGCAGACTGACGGTACGCTTCCTGTCCCCTATGGCGATACTGTGGAGGCGGTGACGGAGCTGGGGGTGGCACAGTTGACGCGATTGAACCAGACCGGTAATGCTCTCTCCAGGTGGTAGTACTCGGCGAACTCGCGACTACTCCATGCCTGTGACCTTCCTGGACCGGCTCAGGACGAGGCACATTATAATCGCCAGTGTACGCATACTCGCAGAAAGCGACAAAGGTTTCAACATCGTCTTCTTCCAGAACGGCAATTCGGTGTTTTGATTCCCTCGTCGGGCCGTTCATGAGATTATGCAGTGGTTTGGAGACATGCTGGGCGAGTCCCGACTGGATTGTCAGCTTCGTATGTTGTGGGCCGACAAGGAAGGTGAATGATGGTGAGTGGATAATACTGAGGAGATTGAATTAGCGGTCTGCTAACAGTGTATACTATCTCTGTACATACCTGCTAAAATCCGGAACAGACTCCATGAGAGACAGTTGACCTTCTTTAGAAAGGATTGAAATGAAATTAATCTACGTTCTAACATGCAGGGTAAGTCCCATTAAGTATTCCCCCTCCAATTCCCGAGGCGCCGGAAGCGATCTTGGGCGAAGATAGTAGTCTGCTACGTGTGCAGATGTGATGGGGGCAAGAACAGTTTCTAGGACCCATTATGCTAACGCTAGACCAGATGACTTTATGAGATATGCGAAATGGGGCCAAAGGAAATTAGATGTTGTCGTGGTATATGTTCGCCTTACACTCTACCCTCGATATCCCAATGGTTTGTTACTCCCAATGCCAATAACTACCATCCACTCGTCTATCTGAACCATTTGAATGATATTCCGCTATCACCGAGACTTAAAAAAAAACAACGCAGAATAGCCATACAGAGCAGCCATACATAACAGCTGGCGTTAACTGGATCTTGGACTGTCCAATTGTCGGGCGACGTTGGCGTCAGCAGGTTTGTGCCCAATCCCCAGCCTCGAGAGAACCCAATCTGTGGCCTCACTGGTTGATTTGTTCCTAAGAGCTCCATCGGGCCCTAGAATTTGAAGCTTCACTTATTTCTATTTTTGACATGTTTTGGATATTTTGGGTATTTTAAATGTGGCGGTCAACAGTTGAACAACGGTGCCTTCAAAAGGTACAGCTACCTAAATAGGTATACCGAGCTTTGAATTAACAGCTAATATCGTAGATATCTATATTTTTTTTATAAAAATAGGTATTTCTACTCCGTACAGGCTGAATATATTACTTGCCTCTTTTCTAGCACCTCTTATTCCACTATGTATCCTTATCGAAGGGAGAAAAGATAAAAAGATAAAAAAACAACCAAAAACCAAAAACGCAGGTCCCCGAATATAATTGGCAAAATACATATAACAAATCACACTTCATGCATCCAATACTCTCCAGATGCCATATGTAAAAGAGCTGGGTGGTCTATCCAGATATCTAAACAAATCCAATAATATACAAAAGAACCAACCCATCAACTAGTATGCATCAATCGAATCTCCGTATTCCCAGGCTCCCACTCCCTCAACCCTTCCCCAACACTATACCAAAACCGCAAACGAATACACTCTTTCCTCGCAGCTTCCAAATCTCCCTTCTCAAATGCCCCTCCGAGTCTCCCAACACACCGAACAATCCTCTCCTCATTCTCTTTCTTAAGTGCATTGATCTGCGCCTCTGCCTCAGCAGACCCCCCAGCCTCCTCAATAGTCTCCTGCACTTCCATAACCTCCATCAGCATCTCCGCATCAAGTGCATGCTTAGTTGAGGCATCTTCCGCAGTCACGTCGATCCCGTGCCATTCCCTTAGAATATACTGTGCCCGCTGCAAAGGATCTAGAAGTGTCCGATACGCTTCGTTTATACGTGCTGACAGGCCCTCGGCAAGCTGCTTCTCTGCTCCGTTCGGATATTTGTCTGGGTGGACGAGACCTTGTATTTGAAGGAATTCGCGGCGAAGATCGCTAGTTGGAATTGCAAATGGGGACCCTGGTGGTGGGCCTGATGGTAGCGTTTGAGGGAAGATCGTGTAGTGGTTGGTTATGTCGGGTGCGCCGGCAAGGGTTATTTTGCTTGGTTCTGCTGAGGTGGAGAATTTTGTTGAGGCAGAGCGAAGGTATATCATGGGTCTCTGGGTTATGCGAGATTGACGTGTTGGGAGGGTTACTAGTCCTCGCGCTGGCTGGTGACATGCATATTGGCTTGTCTTTGATAGCGAGGAGGTTGGTCGTGAGAAAGACCGTGGGGTTGCTGTGCGATAGAGATGATGTGCAATTCTCTGTGCATGGATAGCCATGACTACTATGGTGTAGTGTTTTCCCAAGCTGATGGGCAAGGTAAGAGCTCTGTATATAACTCTCATAAAAAGCCCTCGGCGTACTGCTTTACGTCATCCCCACATTCAACACGTGACCATGGGCTACTTTTGATATAAGCATTGGACTACGAAGATATCGATCTAGATAATTCGACAGATTTTATCCAAATTACAGCCTTTTCTTTGGTTTATATGCAGTTTCCAATTAGGAGGCATATGGTATGTAGTGGAATAGCTAACATGTGAGCTTAATCATTCAATCCCCCAGAGCTTCACAGTACGATCGTGACCACAGCTAGCAATCCACTTTGCGTCGTCACTGATATCCGTGCTGAGTACATTGCCCGAGTGACCGCTCAGCGCCTTCACGAGGGACCAGTCATCCGCGCTAAAAATGTTGACACTCTTATCAAATCCACTAGTCACAAAGAATGTGCCCGCTTTCTTAGGCGAGGGTGCATTATCAGCTGCTGGTGGAGGACCATCAATGTCCATCCCACCATCTGTGGAAGGCAAGAATGACGAAGACTCTGCACCCTTGTACCATCGGAGATCCGATATCACGCTCTTATGCGCACCAATCCCACCCGTCTCCTTTGTGTGTCGCAAGTCCCAGCATTTGACCCAGCCATCACCGGAACCAGAGAGCACCCGGTGGCCATCAACGCCCCAGTCCATAGCGTAAATCTCACGAATGTGACCATCAAGTATCATTTCGTTTTTCCCTGTCCGCAGATCCCAGATACGCCCGATGCTGTCGAATCCACCAGTAGCCACGAGGGAGCCATCGTTGTTGAATGACACAGCATATACTTCTCGCGAATGGCCTTCTTGCAGGAGCAGCTCAGTTGCCCTTTCAATATCCCACAGCCGCCATGAGTTGTCAAAGGATGCAGATGCTGCATATCGACCCGAAGGGTGGAACTCGGTACGACATACACGCTCCGTGTGGCCATATAACGTAGCCAGCGGCTTTTCTTGATCAAGCGCCCAGAGGTTGAGATGTCCTTCGCCACCTCCAGACATCAAATTGACACTTGAGGGTGAGACATTTGAGCTGGGTAGAGTAGCACCGGGGAACCACGACAAACCACCCACTCGGTCCGTATGCGCCTTGAAACTCGCTTTTTCTTCCAGATTGGGCACGCTGAGCACCTTGATCTCACCGCTCCAGTTTCCAGCAGCGATTGTCTGCCCATCCGGCGCGAATCGACAAATGCTGACCGGACGATTGCCAGCAATCTGAGATCCGTAAAGGTCAAATCCTCGTAGCTTCTCCTTGATGGCTTTTCGATGCTTGACATGTGTTCGAAGTATAATTGTCGATTCGTCCTTGAGCCGGGCCACTCGGGCCTTTGCGCGCGGCAAAGAATAACACGCAATATTTCTCCGCGCCTCAAGTAAATCGGGCCCACCATCTGTGTAGAATTCTTCTTGCTGTTCCTCTGCCTCCTCTCCCGCTTCTTCCATTTCTACCTCGACACCGCCTTGTGTCTCCGCCATGTCGGTCAACAGTTCACGTAGACGATCGCGTCGCTCTGATGGTCCTTCGCCGAATAGCGTAATGGGCTCCCCGAGATCTCTTAGTCGTGCGCGCACTCGTGTATCATCTGTTGGAACCACCATCGCTGCTGCTCTCCGTTTCCGTTCGAATTGCGATAGAATGGCCGAGGCTCGCTCGGTTGGGATACCCCCTGCAGTAGAGGGCATATCGTAGTCTTGGTCCATGGCTATGTTTTTATTAGTAGGCCTTCAAGTAAAAGCTGTTCGATAACGACTCACGAAGATCGGCATAGCTGATGCCCATATCTGTGTCCTCCGTCTCCTCGACATAAGCCTGACGCGATGGGTGCATCATTTTGGGCGACTAGAAGCTTTTGCTTCTCCTGTAGCTCAAAAGGCCGCTTAAGAAAGCTTTGCGCTAGGGCCTAGGGTAAAAGTAAACAATAATTGGGGTATCGCGTGGTGAAGAGAAAACAAAAATGTTGGCGGGAGGGAAGATGTTGCGGGCGGCAGAATTGATAACGGTTGGCGGTATAGTTAGCACTCTCATACAAGGTAGGGTCTGATTCAATTTCAGAATATTCAAATTCAACAACATATAATAAGAATGTTTGAAGTCATTCTCTTGTTTTTTTTCACCTACACCAAGTCCAACTCCATACGGTTAAACCATTTCTGCCTGAGAAATCAGGTATCTAAGAAAAATCAATGACGCCAGGCGGTCGGGCGATAAGGGCGGGTACTCTCTTATCCGTTAAGATTCATGCTCCTTGATTTTTGGTATTTTTATTTCCTTCTTCATACGTCTTGTTACTCTCCTTTCGTTTCTCTCCCTCTCAGATCGGAGCACATTCTCCACGAGGGAAATATATATAAGGCCCCAGACCCCAGACCTGCGATGATCCTGCCAAGTCTTTCTTGTAGAGCCTGCAGTTCCGTCCGCAGTAGCCTACAAGCCATCATCGTACGAGACGGCGTCTACTCAGTCTCGACCAATCCAAACACATACGCTCTCTCACTATTTAAAACTCAATATGTGCGCTTCTCATCCCACACTACAAGAATCAGACCAAATACCCGTCTAAGCCTGGACCTAACTCGCCAACCCTCCCGCCGAACCTTCCACGCAACCCGAATAACCAACTTCGAAAACCCCTCCCTAAAACTCTCCTACCGCGTCGCTGTCTCCTCCTCCGGCAAAGGCCGCCGCTTCCACCCAGTCAAAAATGCATATAACTTCGACCCCGCCGGCGACGCCCTAGGCGTGTCAAAAGACAGGAACTCCGTCAGTCGCCGTCGCAACCGCCCAGACTCAGGCGAAGACGCCTTCTTCGTATCCCGCATCGGAAACCGAATCTCAGATCACCAAGACACCAATGCAGAAGCAGTCGCCTTTGGCGTTGCAGATGGCGTAGGTGGCTGGACAGAATCCCGCGTCGACCCTGCAGACTTCTCACACGGCCTGTGCAACTACATGGCGCACACCGCACAGACTTGGCACGAGCCAGCCGAGCGCTTGCGCTCAAAGCATCTCCTGCAGGCTGGATATGACCAGGTTGTGGCGGATTCGACGATCCGCGCAGGGGGTAGTACCGCTTCTGTTGGCGTCGCGCTGCCGGATGGACGGGTCGAATTGGCCAATTTGGGTGATTCTGGATCGGTGTTGCTGAGGAAGGCGGCGGTTCATCATTACTCAGTTCCGCAGACGCATGGTTTTAATACCCCGTACCAGCTTAGCGTGATCCCGCCCCGTATGCGCGCCCAGGCGTCTGTCTTTGGCGGGGCCTTTTTGGAAGATTTCCCCCGTGACGCGTCAGTTACGAATGTGCAGATGCAGCATGGGGATGTGCTCATTATTGCTACCGATGGCGTTTTTGATAATCTCAATAATCAGGATATCCTCAAGCTCGTCACGAGCCGCATGGTTATGACCGGGGCGTGGACAGCGACTGAGTCTGGCGTTGGGGTCTCAGAGGACCTGTGTGCGCTGGCTGCGCCGAGTGGGCTGGCTGATGCTCTTCCTACTCCGACGGGCTCGCCACTTTCCAAGGACCCAGCCAATACTGAGTCTGGGCCTAAGGATGGAGTCACGTTGCAGTCTGTTCTTGCTGCGACGATTGCTGGCGAGGCAAAGATTGCTAGTGTCGACTATCGTCGCGATGGGCCCTTTGCGAAGGAAGCTCAGCGCTACTACCCCGGCGATTATTATCGCGGCGGGAAAGTTGACGATATCTGTGTTGTGGTTGTCATCGCTGTTGATGATAGCGTTTCTACGGATGTGTGATCTGGACAGGAAATCTGGAGCTTTCATACCGGCGTTACACTATTTCCATTTGTTTTCAAACATGATGTTTAAATGCATGAATATATAGAAGGCGCGAGCATTTTTCATTTTGCAAAGAGCCAGGCATACCAGCATTTTATGCTTCCTCAATACCTTGACAATATTCAAATAGAGATTTTATAGAGCTAACCCAATTGCATGGATTTCGAAATTCTAAGAATCTTACACGTTCTTCTGTTTACTAATTTACTGAATAGCCATTACAGATCCTTGTATTCAAGAGCTCAATACATGCAGTGAAGAAGACTGAGACAGCCACTCCATTACATACCCTTCTGGACCTTTCTGTTCATTTTCATGTCATAACGCGACTTCCTCTCCGATACTTTGGGCACTATTCGGTGCAAAGCCAGCTCGATATCGAATGATCACAGGGATCATTGGCATGCAACCTCTGGGAAATACCCAGATCCAGGCAACTCCCATGCTCCATAGCTAGGACACAGGTCAGTGTGCAGAAGCCAAGTAAAAAAAAAAAAGAACAATCACATTTTCAATTGATTCAAAGAAGCCTTACTGGTTGGTCCAGCCCCGTATCCCAGTGTTGCATTGACAGGTGACAAAAAATAGGAAAAAAGAAACAAACCGGCAGAACCGCGTAGATTGAAACAGAGACAGAGAAGAGAACATGAATGAGAGCGCAAATGGATAAGAGTAAGAAAACAGACATCGCAAAGTCGTGATTCCCAGTCCATTTAAGCAGCAGCCTCGACGGGCTCCTCGGCTGCTTTCTCTTCGGGCTTTTCTTCTGTCTCAGGCTCAGGAGCCTTCTCATCCGCGTCAGGCATTGGGGAATCGCCGTCCTTAGTTGACTTGGACTCAGGCTCCTTTTCCTCTTCTGTTTCTAGCTTGGGGGTTTCGACTCCATCCTCCCCCTTGGAGCCGTTGACGGCGGGCTTCTCATCCTTGTCCGCCGGGCCGGGAGTGTCCGCGTCTAAGATGTTCTTCCAGCTAGATAGAATGTTCATGGCACGGTGACGGAAGTTGAACTCTTCATCCCGGGGAATCGAATTGAGCTTGACAATCATCTTAAGGACCTTGTTAATCTTAGTTGAACGGATGATCGACACTTCCAAGTCCGAATGTTTTTCCAACTTGTCAAAGTAGCCGGCCATGCTAGCCATCTCATCTTCCTTGGGGGGCTGGTCGCGGGAGATGAAACCCTTTTGGAGCTTGTGACGGAGGAACAAAACTGCAAGGTATGAGTTGGCCTGATCGGACTCGTCGGGGGAGGGGGTTCGCGTACTCTCTTTCTCCTTTTTCTTTCTCAGCTCCTCTGGGTCAATAGGCTTCTCGGATTCCTTAGCATCGGCACTGTCACCTTCTTCACTAGTAGCGGGAGCCGCCTTGCCCTTCTTGGCAGGCGCTTTCTTGGCCTTGCTGGCTGGAGTCTTCTTTCCAACCTCCCCAGTGGGAGCCTTCGGGGTGGTCAACTTCAGCTTCGTGTTAGACTTAGGAGTCTTAGCGGGCTATAATTGTGTGAGATGAGCGAGATCAACATTCGCAATAATCCTGTAACACATACCTTTTCCACTTCAGCATCAGTTTCAACATCCTTCTTACGCTTCTTAGAAGAGGCCTTGGACTTTTTAGAGTCCTCCACATCCTCCATTTCAACGTCAGTATCGGCGCCCTTGCTCTTGCGCTTGCCCTTCTTGGCCTCCTTTGCGGCCTTGGCAGCTGCCTTCTCCGCTTCCTGGGCTTCCAGCTCAGCCTCTTCCTGGTCAATAGCTGCCTGATGGTCGTTCAGGAGCTTCTTGAAGTACTGAAGATTATGACCCTCAGATGCAACCTTGTAGGCGTTGATGAGTGATTTGCTTTTATTCTTCTCGGAGATCTCCTTGCAGTCGGCAGGGTTGAGAGGTGTCAGGCTGGTGTTGGGAACCCAAGCGCTGTCAAGAAAAAAAAAATAGTCAGTAGGAAGTTCACGTCTGACGTAGAGATTGTGCGGGGGTCGACTCACAATTCATTGGTCTCGAAGAACATAACAGGGAAGGTACGCTCATGGGCGCGTCTTCCATCATCACCATACTCGCCTTTGTAGGATCCATCCTTTTGCATGGCGGTAACGGGACGAGTTTCAAGTAGGCTGGGGGGCAGAATGCCCTCGTCACAGATGATAGCAGGCCAGGGCGCATAACTGCGTAGACGAGCTAGATAGGTCTCGCCTGGCTTAGCGTGCAGGTAGGTGGTGCGAATCTGTGACTTCTTGCGGCTCAGCTTCTGGGTGGCACCTGTGGAGGTGCGGCGGTTCTTGGAGGACTTCTTCGCTGAGGCAGGGGTTCCGTTGGGCTCCGCGGGCGTAACAGCCTCTGTATCGGCAGTTTCACCATCGGCCTTGAGTTCAGGAGCCTCATCAGAGAAAGTAGGCTTATCAGCCTCAGCTTTAGCGTCTGTCTTCTTGTCGGTCGCAGCTTCAGTCTCTGGAAGAGACAGTGGGTTAGTGGTGTCGCACAGAAATGGGATACACCGATCGGGGGACAGCGTTGAGGAATATAGGCGCAAAACACTTAATTGATATTGATCAGTTCAGGCTTACCGGCAGGCTTATCTTCCGACATGGCCACATCCTCAGACTTCTTCTCGGAGTCGATAGGATTCTCAGCAACGCGCTCGGGCTGATCGCCCTCGACAGGCGAAGAAACAGGGGCATCGTCAGCCATCACGGCAAGCTGGGATGAGATAAGTTAAAATTCAGTAGGCGATTGGTAAATTGAAGCTGGGATAGGTGGTGGGAGAAGCTTCCAGGGGAGGGTAAGAGAGATGTGGAGAAGAAAGAGAGTCGCGAAAGGCGCGGGAACTTCAAGACGCGTCTGAGAACGGAAGACCCAATGACGCCACACCTTTCAAGTTCACCCACCACAAGAGTAAGACAATGAACAGGAGATGAGGATGATTGTTTGTATCGCTCTTCGAATTTGAACAGCCCTGGGGGTATTTGGATGGACAATGCAGGAGGGTTGCACAATGGGCAAAGGGTATCTCTGAATAGTTACCTGAAGTTTGTCAACAGACAATATGATTCACAGCAACGATGACTTACTCAAGATGCCAATACGGAGTTTTGTCTCGATTTCTGAGGGGTGAAAGGGAAGCGACACCTGATGCCCTAGTGGGATGCCTATCACACAAATCGGGCAGATCAGGGACCGGAGAGATATTTTGACGTAAATCGAAGGAACAACCCTGAGCTTTTCCGTTCTCTCCTTCTCTTCTGATTCTGGAGATACCTCAATGTCAGGTTGATAGCATATAGTACACAGCAGATGAAATAGTAGACGTCTCTCTTGCTGTATGCCTTCACAACTACCGTATATCTGGACACGGCACAATAGGATGAGCGATTCCCGAGTCAATCTGTTAGTTTTGGTTTTAGTTTTAGGAGGGGGGGGGTTGAATATCCTCCACTTTGTCATTTGTTCATTCATAAATGGCATATAAGACTATACACTGAGTGTGAAGTGCCAAGAGACGTCTTTGTCTTCTTTTATACATCGAACTATCACGATGTTCGGGGCATGGCTGTGCACGTGCGGATGAGCCTATTCTTCATGTTAGTTTCCTTCAAATGCGAATTCATGGCAGGTTCAAACCAGCCGGGCCACAGTATAAGAAAAGTGAACTTGTTCCTTTTTCCTACGGCCAGAGTACCCTGTTCAGCCAGGGATTATGTTCAGTCGCAATCCATCGCAATTGACCAAAGCGATATAATCACAATGTAGATTGAGGTAGGCCAGTTGAATGGATTGTATATCGAATGCTGTTGAAAAATGATATGCGATCGTCTACTTAAATGTGAGCAGGGTTTATCAACTCAAGGGTAATCCAGGGAGCTTGCGACTCTGTACATACCTGGCCGTGATCTCATGTCACTAACCCGCCGTGTCCGCGTCGGCGACGACGGCCACGTTGGAATATGTGGTCTAGCACACTATAATAAGGATTTGATGTGCTTTTGTTTTGCACTGGGAGCGAATACACGAGGGATAAATGAAACAAATCCAAAATGTTGATTTATTGTTTCCTATGTACCTAGGTAGGCATGTCCAAACTTCTATCTCTTGTAAGCACAACCCCCCACCAAAATGATGCGATTTCACATTTTTATCTAAGCAGATAGTTTCTCTAAATAGGTTATATATTTTCTATCTGAAAGAAATATTGTATGGAAGCTTGCGTTGCAATGCTTAGTTATTTGTGGTTGTCTTTGTATGCAGGTTATGGCCACAGCTACAAAGGAAGTATTTCGTTGGGGTTTCAATTATTCGTCTTTCAGGCTCTTATAAAAGAATATTTCTTGCATAAACATATTAATTGGTGGTTACTTAGGTACAGGAGAGAGGCATCAGGGTACGCGCGAGTTGTTTGACAGTGGTTGACAGAGAGAAATGGGTAATAATAACTAGGTCCATATACACAAGATTATAAACCAGACCCAGCGGTCTGGTGGGGGTTTCATACAGGGTATCAAGTTCTAAAACAAAGCTGAATCCAAAGTCAAACCATGAGATTTCAACCCCCGGAGAGTGGACTCATATGACAGCATGTTCTGATGCACTTTCACTCGCGGGGTAATCCTCTTCGGGGACATTGAGAAGTGACGGTTCCGGCTTATGGATCCGGACAAGGCAAAGGAAGTAGTCTTCCAACGGTAACAGATTAAGCAACACCCTATTAAAATACCAACCCAGGGCACATACAACAGCTCCCGCGACAGCATCCAGAATGAAATGGTTGGCGGTAGCAACAATTGCCACAAGGATGGTAAATGGATATAGAAAGCCGAGTGTGACGCAAACAAGGCGGCGCCATGATGGGAGGTTTAGTCTTAGGGCACGGGTCAGCCGAGTACGCAGGGCTGTGCGCCGGTGGTGCTGTGGCAAAGGGATTGTTATCAATGTGAGACCGATCATTAAAGAGTAGCCAAAATGTAAGGAAGGCATTGCCGCTTGTAAGAGTCAGTCGGGGGTTCATGGAGATTTGCGCTAGACAACACTTGCCATATTGATTACAGAAGCGGTTTTCTGTCCAAACACTGCCTGATCCATTGATACCATGTACGGTATCCACGAACCCATAACTGCGGGCCAGATCTGCCTCCTCGCCATCCACGGTTGTGTCGCTCAGTAATCGAGGCGGCATGCAAGGCCAAATAGTGAAAACCACAAATGCGAGAAGATTGCACACGGCCAAAGTCCGCCGGCGTGCCTGGTATAGAAGAGGACCTGCAGGAGACCCGCTCACGGTACCCTTGGGTTTTCCGGGCTGGTCTTCATCGATCCGATTCCGCACGGTAGTATAGTAATAGAGCCAGACGAGAAACGCTATTGTCCCGGGAATGTGTATAAAGGAATATATCCAATTGATCCAAGGCATGACAAGAGGGTTGCGAAGGAAGCGTCTTTGAATCAAGGTCTCCCAGAACATGCCCAGCTTCTCTTCAATCACGATTAGTTGCAATGCATGTCTCCTCGCGACGTCGACAGTGTCATCCTTGAGAGTCACAGCAGTAAAAGCACGACCAAGCTGGTACGTCTGCACAAATTGTGAGCTTCTCACCTCTAACATATGAATACAAAACCACAGGTATAGATGGGGCCCAAGATGGATTCGGAAATAACAAATCAACTTACCCAGTAAACCAAAGCCCAATACCAACATTCCACCAAGAAAGGAAATCTCCGAAGCAACCGACTAAGGAAACGGTCTTGGAACACAATAGTATTCGGCGATGACACCTCAAAAGTCAAACCCAGGAGTCCAACCTGTCGCTTGTGCCATCTATCTTCCGGGGCTTCCGCGTCTTGTGGTGAGTGGGACCGAGAGCGCAGCAGGCCATCCTTTGTCGATTGGCTTGAGTATCCTGACTCCAAAGAATCAGATGAAGCCCGTCGAATATCATTCGAGTTCCGTCGATTGTAACGCCGAGTCGAGGATGATCTGACAGAGCGGTTGATCCAGGTACCTCCGAATAAGAGAACAATAACCACCAGAGGCTCTATTACTGCTCCAGCTCCCATGACGGGTATTAGACAAAGGAACCAGTACCTAGGTACCGTTTCTCAAAGGGAAAAAGAGAAGAAAGAGGTGCCCTGACAATTTATAAAGAAGTAACTTAAGAATGGAGGAGGAGAATGAATATGTCATGAGGGGATTTTCAGGGCCATCTCTAGTTGTGTTCAAAAGAATGCCCAGGGCAGGTGCCAGGGCAGCCATAGGGCGCCGGAGTCACCGGAGTCAAACTACATACTTATCTCGTGTTTTTCTTTTCTTTTCTTTTTTTTTTGGGCCTTGACACATTGAACAGCCAATAAGTATAAGTGAAATCCACAAAGATGTGACATTTGTTCTTGGCATGGCTGGATAGAGGTAACATGTGTCACAGGATTATACATAAAATTGTACACATAAGTATGTTGTGATGCCAAGTTGTTAGGTACATTCTATACATGTGATCACTTGCCATATATAGCACATGTCCACACATCGTATGTTATAATAACTAGTACTTATTCCGTACAGAGTACCTAATACCTGTATCATCCTAGATAATTTCTCTAAACAAAATGTACCCAATACCTCGGATGTCTTTTTGCCGATCCCGAAATGGACATATCCGGTCTCCGAGCCGGCGCTAGTCCTGCTTTACCTGCACTACCAGTACATAGTACATATATAGTATAGTACTACATATGGTGCTGTAGGTACTCCGTATACCTCTTTTTTTCTATACTTTTAATACTTCAAGTACTTCAAATACTCTTAAGTATTTCTAAAATGAGGTAATATTTGCCTGTGCCTACGTAATTTATCACTTTCATATGAAGTATGTTCGACGTCAACCCTTCAACCCTTCCCCTCTACATAATTTTTGAATGTGAACACTAGGTCAGTTCAAAATAGTCCAACAACTTTCTAGATATGATATTTGTTAACTCACTTAAAAATGGGCGTGTAATGAGCCGCACCTTATCACAAGTGGCCATTGCATTGTCCACCCCATCCAGGCCCTTTTCCACCACGTCGAGCATATACCAAGGGGTTACTCTTCTGCAAGACAAGCAAAATGGCTTTGGCTTCGCACGGTCAAACCCCAGACCTGCCAAGCCCAGAACGAAGGGAGTCACTGAGATCCGAGGCCCATACTACTCAGTAGGTACCATATAGTCTTTATCACAAGTTCCCGTAAAGCTAACCTAAACCAGGTCATGGGCAAAAGATATCTCGCAGATATTCTCGAAACGTAATATTACACAATCCCCCAACTACTTCACCAAATGGAATCTAACAACAATCGATAGAATGGGGGACCATGTAGATGGTCTCAAGTTTGCCGGAGGTGAGTCCCAACAGGGTTTCAGTTCTTGCCAAAAGCCACAGCGCTGAGAACAAACTCAGGTGCTTTTTCTCTCTTTCACGAGAAACCACTGCGGGAATTGGTGGATCTTGCTCACGAGCAAGGCGTGTACATCTCAACGGTAAGACTGTCTTGGGCCAGCACATTAGAATCAGCACATTTGGAAGCATGCTCTTAACATTAGCTTCCATATTTCAGGGTGGATGGGCTGAGCATCTCCTCACACACCCCGACCCAAATACGGTATTTGACCGTTATTTGAAGAAATGCAAGGATCTCGGGTACGTGCATCCTCAGCTCGTGGCCCAGGAGCCTGGAATACAAAATCTGACTAGTCAACATAGACTCGATGTCATTGAACTATCTTCCGGTTTTCTGTCATTCCCGGAGGATGACTGGCTCCGTCTTATTGACAAAGTCCACTCATACAAGTTGGAACCAAAGCCTGAATTGGGAATTCAATTTGGAGCTGGTGGAGACACACCTGCTTCGGGGCTTGAAGCAATTGGAACATCTGATCCTGGAAAATTGGTGAATTTGGGTCGTAGATTTCTTGACGCTGGTGTGAAGCGGTTGATGATTGAATCAGAAGGTATCACTGAAAACGTTAACTCCTGGCGGACTGATGTGGTGTCGAAGATTATGAAGGAGCTTCCTCCTGAGCGTGTCATGTTTGAAGCTGCAGATCCCAAGGTTTTTAATTGGTACGTCCGTGAGTTTGGAATTGATGTCAACCTATTTGTGGATCACAGCCAGATTGTGCAGTTAGAATGCCTGCGGACTGGCATCTGGGGTACTGCCGACACCTGGGGCAAGATAGTGTCATTCCGACCATGAGCTTCAGGATAATTTGCACTTGAAGTACATGTATTCTCGTGACGTCAATGTGTCAATGCATCCGATATCTTGAATCGAAGTCCATCTATGTGTAGCTCTGGAGGTGGGATAAATATGCTTAGTCATATAATGGCAAAGTACTCCGTACCTAGGTAGGTACATAGGTAGACACCCGCACTTAGTGGTCTTCAGCATTATATTAGGCTTCAGCAATGAACTGAGTGGATCCCAATCGAGACTGACCCAATCGGTTCAAATACCTTACGCCTCGATGATTATCACTGAAACCCCGGACGAGTGACCCGACCTATTCACTAAACGCGAGCGCGATCGGGATGCCTCGAGCCAGCACTACTCCAGGAGCACGGCTCCGATGCCGACGAGCCTGCGACAGCTGCAAAAGGCGAAAACAGAAATGCAACGGGGAACAACCATGTACAATCTGTGTGCAGAGGCACAAGGAGTCGGAATGCCATTTCTCGGATCGGCCCGCACGCCTACTCAAGCCAGACGCCAAGGACTCGACAATGTTGCTCAGTGAGCGCATGATAGCATCTCCGCAGCGGGAAACGGCAATGGACCGTCTTTTGAACTCCATTGAAGACCAAGGAATGAATATAGAACGCCAGGAAAAGGATGAGAAGGAAGGGACGGCTCCCGTGCCAAAAGTAGCGCGGCTTCTGCGCGACGGTCAGGGAAAGTTTATGTATATTGGTGATTCGGCGAGTTTGTCGTTCTTACAGAGTCTGCGCCGTGTTGTCACATCTTCCATTGGCCGGTGCGAGTTCACCGAGGACAACTCACGGCACTCAATGCTTGAGGCCTTTCAGGGCAACCCAAGCATTCAACCCGGAGCTCTAGTTACGCCACCAAGCAATGATGAAGCCCAACGACTAGCTCGTCAGTTTGTGCTTGCTACAAGCCCATTGCTCGATTTATTTGATCTGGAAGAGTTCCATCCACGGCTAGCTAATTGGGTTGCAAACCCATCGGGTGACGAAGATACCGTTAGCTCTATCTTCTATCTTGTCCTTGCCATTGGAGCTCAAATTTCCGATATTGATCAGACAGTAGCTGAACAATATTTTGGCAGCGGTCGTCAACTGGCATTCTTGGCCTTTCAAGAAACCCCAAGCATACACACCATCCAATCATACGTTTTGGTTTCCATGTATATGCTTGGCGCATGCAGGCGCAATGGTGCATTTATGAATCTGGGGGTTGCTCTGCGTGCTGCCTATGCGGTAGGAATCCACCGCAAGGATGCAAATGCGCTCTTTTGTGGGCGTGAGCGCCGAGCGAGGGAGCGGGTCTGGAAGAGTCTTCGAATGATGGATCTATTCCTCAGTGCATCCTTGGGACGCCCTCCCGCAACTTCAGACTATGACTACGATGCACGCGAAGATGCTATCATATCAGGAGAATCACAACCGCATTTGACCTCGGACAAACAGCTTTCTGTTGCGGTGATTTCGCTTTGTCGAATATTCGAACGAATCTTGACCGATGTGTACATGAAGCAAGTCATATCGATCAATGTTGCAGAGACGATCTCCAACCAGCATCGGGCTTGGGTTCGTACTCTGCCATCAATCCTCAAAATGCAGACTGAACAGCTCGAAAACAAATCCATGGAAACCAGCCTAGCTGCAGCTCACGTGTTCGGCTCATATTACTGGTCGATTATCCTATTGACACGACCATTCCTTATATACCGCGTCGCTCAATATGTCAAAGGCAAAGCCGATTCGTCCGAAACCCGAAACGGTAGTTCCCGAATATCCTTGTTTGCCGATGCATGTGTCTATTCCGCGCTTCGAGGTCTAGACGTGGTCGATGATCTTAGTCATTATACATCCCTTCCACGTCGACTACCCTTCTTGATCAACTCCGTTTTTAACTCTGTCATCGTTCTCGGCGCTGCATTCTTCGCTGACTACGATAATCTCCTCCCTTTGGAAGAAGGAATGAACAAAGCCGAACGGTTCCTAGAGCTATTTGTCCCGCATGATCCACACGCATGCCGTTTCTTCCAAATCATCAAATACCTCCGGGCTGCTGTAACCGAATACATTTCCCGGCGAAATCGACAATGGATGAATAGGCGCAGCAAGCAGGTTGACCAGCTTTTCGGCCAAGTAGGTGTTGACGAGGATCACAACTCCCTGACCCCGGGAAGTCCATCTTTCATTGGCCCAGGTGATACTCACTTATCTGCATCTGCGACTGGGCTATCCCCTACCTCCGCTGACAAAATGCCCGTTGGTACTCCATCCTCTTACATTCCTTCCCAGTTACCCCCTCAACCCCAATTTTCAACCGATAACGATGTTTGGGAAGCTCTATGCAATGGCTCAGACCCCACTGCAGCTTTGTCCTACGATGCAGCCATTTCTGCATTAACCACCTCGGGCATCCCGGTGGGCTGCTCTCCTGGTGGGACTATTCCTTCCGGCCCACCCCCGGTGTCTGGCCCGTCTCCGCTTTCTGACGTGATGTTCCCTGATAATGGTCTGCTTTATATGGCTGAGGATCTCCCGGTCTTTGGCATCTGGGGGGATGAGCGGTGATTACCCAGTGTCGGAAAACAAATTATGTTTCAAAAGTTAAATATGTGATGGAAAGCGGGTGTACTGGCGCAGATCTGGTGTGTTATTTGCGAGGATATTTATGATGCGATGACTCCTTCCTTTTTTGTATAATTGGACATGTTGACCTTGATCTATATACCCCCAAGGGCGAATCAATTTATCTTTACATATGGACGTGAATATGTATTTGGTGCTCCATAGTATAGAATAGAATGAAATACTAGCGTAGCATTGGTCAGATCTTAGAGCGCGCCAAATAACCAAATAGGGAAATATACGTATATAGGTACATATAGATGTATACAATCCCACTTCTCCCGCCGTGATGCTTTAATGCTTTTTGGGAAATCCCTGAGAGCCTTATGGGAATGTCTGGACAACCCAGTTGGGATTCAATTGCTGCATACTCTCTGTGCTATCTATCTCATCCCAATATGCCAGGTATGATATCATCTACATCTCTTTATTCTTCAGCGCTAAGCCCAATGGTCCTAGGCTTGGCTTGGGGAGTACGAAAAGCAACCGGCTAGCCATGGGACAGCCATTGCACATTTACTCAGGATTGTAGATATCTCCAAGTACCGAAGTGGATTTGAAAGAGATTTGATCCTTAATTTGAGTGTGCCAATGGTATGTGATACTTTCCAAACATGAAACCCCCCTACCTCACTAATTCTATCAGATCCCGGACGGAATATGCAATCCTCGAGTGCAAATGGCTCCAAGTTTTCGGGGCGATGTGATGGATTCTCATCCAGTAAGACTCCTCCCTATCCTCGGATGGTATACCGCGACTAACCACGACTCTACTGCCGCTTTCAAATTTCCTAGAATACCTTCACCACACACACTTTCATCTCTCCGAGACCCCCACAGCATATATGAAGCTCCAAGAAGACGCGCAGAATATCTACCCGTATCTAGATCAGTCTACTGGACGTGCCGGTCTGTCCTCCTTGGTGCTTAGTCGGCAGTCGCGCCATCGAGAACCATACACTGTAGTTATTGCTTTAGCACTTCTTTCAAACGCTGTTCTCCGTCCCGTGCATAGGATTCAGGAAACGCTATCCTCACCCAGGAATCGGCCTTCTTTTGCAAGCGAATTATCAACGAGGCTAAATTGTCTTCTTGCTGCCGTCCGCTTGGTGCTGCTTATGTCGCGCCGTGCCTGGTTGTTGCCTTGGGCAGTGCAGAAGATCCATAGCAGTTGGCCCGCATCGATGCCATATTGACAGATTACCAGGCCGACTTTGGGGGCTTTGTACGTTGCTTAGGGGTGTAGTTCACAGCCACCGCGTACGGGAAACCGTGACATCTAACGAGGTAGATATCCTAGCTTTCGGGATTCGGGATTGTATGACGCAGCTGCAAGCTTTAGTCGAACTGTGCTTATATTCAGATTGTAATAAAAGCAACCCCCTGTAGGTGTGATCAGTGATGATGCTTCATGAATCATCCCATCCGTACATCACACATATCATGCAATTGGTATCGTTACGTGAGGCTGAGAGACAATAGAAAAAGAAATAACCTTATTTTGAGTTATGATGTGTCCCCATGTGCAACAATGTTCGCAGTGCCTAGAAAGATTTACTTCATGGAGTAGACTGTGCTAAATGCCAACAAGTCCATGGATTATGTATGAGCTAGCACGGGGGAGAACAAGATCAAAATAATTACCATTCAAACGATAAAAGGGAGAAAGACAGGACACACAATATGCATCATCATAGACAGAGCATCACCATAGACAGATTTATATGACAATAAGCTAGAGACAATGAAAAATGCAGGATATGAGAGGCATAACCAGATCTGTCACAGAGCACAGGAAAGCAATATGGACAGCCCGCTAAGTGCGGGGGTGGGGGGAGGTTTGCAAGGGAGAAAGAGGAAAAGGATTCGTATGAGCTTCGATACACGCTGCATCAAAACGGGGACCAGGGTCATGATATGTACACGTGTCGATTCCAAAGGCATCGGTTTGAAAGGACAAGCTGCGATATGTGAAAAGAACACCCCAGATTCAAAATGAGAAAAACTTCAGGGCAAAATATGGGGAATTGCCAAGAAACCAGGATTATATACGCCAGTCTAGTATGGGTGAACACAGAAGCAGATTAGAAGCCGAACGGATTAGTGGGCGCTGTTGACCGAGTTAGTTTCTGTTAATTTCTATCACCCGTAATGGTAAGAAAACACTTACTAGCTTGCGAAAGGTTGGCTCTGAGTCCAGTCGGTTGTGGCTCAAGCTTCTTATGGCCATCTGGCTTGACACCAAATCTGATGGATGGAGGCGGTCCGGTCTTCTGTGGCGACAGGGGAGTGGCTGTTGGTTGCTGAGGAATTGGCGGCACAGGGGACGGAGAGGCGTAGGAATGGTTGCCATAGCCATTGATACCAGTGGGTTGCGGTTGCAGTGCAGGAGGAAGGACAGAGTTAACACCAGTCTGCATTGGTTGTTGGAGTTGCCCGTATCCACTAAACCCTGTGGGCTGCGGCCCAAGACCCTGGAACCCAGTTTGTTGAGGGGGCATCTGGTTACCAAATGGCTGTTGTTGTTGTTGCTGCTGCTGGATACCGAATTGTGACTGGGGAGTAAACGCTGCGGGTTGTGGCATTAAGCCATTCTGCTGGTATTGGGTTTGACCAATAAATCCTGTCGCTTGCGGGTGCATCGCAGCTTGGTAACGCAACTGGTTCATTTCGCTCAGACTCTGGCCAGGAGGAGCAACCGGTGGACCCGCCTGGGGAAGGCCCGTCAGTTGAGCCTGCAATGGAGGGGGGCCAAAAGAGTTTTGCTGTTGCGAGAAGTTCTGAGGTGCGGACAGTGTGCGCTGCGGAGGCGGAGGCGGAGGCAGAAGTGAATTTTGTCCAACTGTCTGAGGGGCCTGAGGGCGTTGCCTGGCCTGTGCTTGGAACCCAGTCTGCTGAGGGCTGAAACCTTGTTGATGTTGTCCTATCTGTGCGACTTGTGCAAACAAGCTAGGAGTGGCACCCGTTTGTTGAGCCTGTTGTACAGACGGTGATTGCACGGTAGTGGCCTGCGGCTGTAGGGTAGGCATGGGCAGGGCAGGCTGTGCAGTAGGTTGGGCCGGTGTCGGCTGCAAAGGAGTTTGGAGCAATGTCAGATCCGCCATTGCGCCTGTTGGCTGAGGAACCTGAGCTGCGGCGGGTGGTGGGGTCGGGGTGGCCGCAGATGGCCTAGCAGGCTGCTTCGGTTGCTTCACCTCCCAAGCATCATCCTCAAATCCGGCTACAGCAGGCTTTTCAGCTGCCGCAGGGGGTGGTGGGCTCGCCGAGCTATCTGGTGATTTGGGTTCGTCTCCCACTCCGAACGCTTTGGGATCAACCTCTCCAGCTTGGACGTTTGGTGTTGGTCTGCCCCTGCGAGTATTGTTGCGCAACACACCACCGGGCCCGGAAAACAGACCACCTTGCCCTCCGTCCTCACCATTGCCGATGAATTCCTCACCGCCGAAACTGACGTTTCGAGGCTTGGACTTATCCGGGGTACGACCATATTTGGCATCCAAAACCTTCATCACTCGCAAGGTATCACCTTGGTTCAGACCTAAATTCTGAAGGATGTCAGATGTAATATCAGGTAGCACAGATTCGTCTATCGCGTCCTTGCTAAATGACTGTGCATATCGCTCACAGCGATGTGGCCCAACGCCAGCCTTAAGGAAGAAGTCAAACCAATCGTAATCGGAACGTTGCACAGAAGCCCCAGATTTGGAAACCCCGGATTTGGAATCCTTGTTAATAGCAATCCGTGGTCGGATGCTTGAAAGAGGTTTGTCCTCATCCAGCGAAACACCGGCGACTTTTTCCACATGCTCGAGGTCTTCAACGGACATCTTCGAGACAGGGACAGCAATCTTGATACCGTTCACCTTGTGAAGCTGGATCTTACCATCTTGGAGGCCTATGAACTGGGCTTCAACTGTGAAGTCCTTGGTCCGATCCGTCCATTTTCGCACTTTACTTGGATCAGGCTTCGACTTGATTTTGCTGTCGCGCTTGCTGTGGCGATCCAATGAATCCACGGAGTCCGTCCGTGACTTGCTTATCGAAAGTTTGGACAGCCGCATCTCCTCCATCCGGTTCTTTTCCACACTCGAAAGGCCTGGTTCGTTAGGAATTTGCGGCGCCTTCGGTATCAATCCCGTGACTTCGACATAGCTGCTGGGGACAACACCCTCCTTGTTGTTCTTTATTCGTCGCACCATCCACCACTCTTCGGACTTGGTATCATCGAGCACGATGACCTCATCCCCCACAGCTACTGTAACTTCATCCTCGCCCTGAGCCATGAAGTCATACAGGATCTGGCCTTTCTTTGGACCGCCGCCTTCTCCTGCCTCGAGCACCTCACGCAATCCTTCTGCCCGGTAGGCACCGGCGATCTCGCCGAGTGCTGCTGCAATCTCGTGGGCAGTGTCTTTGGCACCTGCATGAAAATCGATGCTCTTGCTAGGCCTGACAAGATCGACAAAGACATGCTTTCCTTCGATCGAGTAATGTGTGAGCTTCTCCGCACTCCATTCGTTCTGTCGATCATCGCCTTCAGGAGAAATAAATATGATTCCAGTAGCCATGTTGATTCCCAATGTAGTCGGCATCTTCTTTCTCTTGCCCATAACTTCAACCATCTCATTGATGTTGTAAATATGATAGCCGGAAGGCGATCGAGGTGTCATATCACCTGCCCGGTTGTAGGGGGGAGATGCTTTGACATGTGTACCCATAGCAGGGGCAACCTGCTGAGGACGGGGTGGTGGAGTTGGGTCAGGCGCATAACGGTTAATGGGCGAGGTTGCATGTTCTGAGGATGGTCGACGCGGCAGACTAGGCGGTGGTGACTCCTCACGTTCCTCTGTCTGATCGTACGATGGCCGGACCGGAAGACTAGGTGGTGGGGGCTCATCCCTAGCCGTCTCGATAGGGGCATGCTGCTTGTGGATGATACTAGCAATCGCAGCAGCAGCGGGGTTGTGAGACATTCCAACCAGAGAGCTGGCAGGCGATGCCTCGGTTTCTTCCGGGGCAGTCTGTGTCGGCCGCTGTGGGAGCGTCGGCGCGGCAGGCTCGGCTCGAACGGAAGATGAAGGAGGATAAATCGTTGCAGCGGAGACATCCTCAATAATTTCGATGTAATTCGACGGCGCAAATCCATACTCTGAGTTGATTCCAACCAACGTCCAATCCGGATCCGAGGTGTCATACACCATCAGCTTAGCATCTTCGGAGAAGGAGACCTCCTCGTCAGTCTGTCGCGTGTAGTCGAAGAGAGCTGTGGCTCTATGCGCTGGTCGCACCTATTTCATCTAATATCAGCAATTGTTCTGGCAGTGAGGCCTACGCCGGTGCACTCCATCGGTGGAGCTCCGCAACATCAACAGGACTCACCTCTTCGACATAGTTATTGGGGACTAGGCCTTCAGGTTCGTCCTCATCCTCCCGCCCAGCCTTCTTTTTAGCTCTCCACCAGTCGTCGTCCGCATTCTTTTCCAAAATGTAGAGGAGGTCGCCCTCATGAATCTCGAGTTCGCCCGCTCCCTGTGGCTGGTAGTCGTACACAGCCGAGTAGACACCAAGAAACCCCATATTGGAAACTTCTCGTGATCCTACGTCACCGATCAATTATGACGACAATCCGCTGCAAATGGCAGCGTCTCAACGTGCAACTCTAGGTTTCGCGGTGATATAGTTGGGGAAAGAACAGGGTGTAATTGGTGATGCTGGCCGTTGCTCGGTCAGCCTTGGCGCTCCTTAGTGGACAGAGCAGGGGGGATAAGTCGGAATACGGATCAGATGTCGGAGCGCGCGGAGTTAGACCAAATGTCTAGGCGCAAGGGATTGAGAGAGAAGAGAAAGGGGAAGAGAAGGCGGACGAGGTTGGATTAGGGAGACGGAGAGGGCGGGAAGGTGGGCCAGGGCGATAGGAGTTTACAGTCACGTTGCCTTAGGCTGGTGATTTTTTTGACATTTTCTTCAATTGATCCTTTTGCCTATTTTTTTTTTTTTCTTTTTCTAGTTATATTGCTATTCGTATTTTAATTCTTCTAATTCCCCGGCACACACTACTCTATCCAAAGCGTCCCTCGGCTCCGCAACTGAGGCAAATGACAATCTACGGGCGATAGTACGGAGGTATATGTATGTAGTTATCGCTTTTGATTCTCTCTTGATTAGTACAATAGGCTACCTCTAGGGCTACTTAGCCCTACGTTTATGTCAGATTGCAGCCAGATCGACTACATCTAGCCTTAGAAGGCCCCTGACAAAGATGCCTACCTAGGATTAAACGCGTATAAATATCTACTAAGTGTACCTATACAGTGGACGAAGCGTAGAATGAGTAAGTAGCCTTTTATAGTAAAACTAAGCCCCATGAGAATTCAAACGTATAAGGTATGTAGACTGTGTATGTTTCCACAGCTAGGTCAATTGCACACAAACCACGATATCATTCATTTGAGACTTGAAAAGTGAAATATCAAAATATACAAGATCTACTATACAATGTCATAGTTCATCTTTAAAAGTCTCCTTGCTGCCCTCGCTATTTTCGGGCTTGTTCGAGGAGGGATTTTTCTTTTCAGCCGATTCTGTTTCCTGCTTCTTAGATCTTTGACCAGCGGAATTTTCAGATGCCTTGTTTTCGTGTAGTTTCTCTGGAGACAGCTTGTCGCTCCAGGTGTCTTCCTCGTCTTCTTCAAGGACGCCTTGGAACTTAATCACACCGTTGCTTTCCACAACCTCTAGCGTCCAGTCTTTGCCGTCGGCTTGTTCTTCCAATAGATTCTTCATCTCTTCCAGTTTCTCCGGGTCGATGTCGTACTTTTTCAGAACCTGCTTGGACATTTTCCGAATCTCGCCATTCTCACGTTTCGCAACCACCTCCACTCGCTCCTCGCCTGCGGATGCCACACGCCCCTTTTCAATTACCTTGCCCTCCATGCCAACAAGTTTGCGGCCTCCAACTTCGATTCCTCCGATAATCGGGCGCTCGGATTGGGCGACATCCGCATCCGCATCCGCACCTGTAGCTGTATCGGCCAGTTGGCTGGACGTGTACCACTCTTTGATAGCTTCCCACTTGGTGACTTCGTCGGGCATCAGGATTTCACGGCACTCGATGGTGTGTACCTCATCCTGCCGTGGCGGTAGAAAAGCAACGTCGTCACATAGTCGAGGGGTATAGATCACCATTAGGTAAGAGCACGTGGTGAGCTCCTTGATCCAACCGATGTGATCTGTCGATTGTGGGTGACAATGAAACTGCACTTCAACCTTGCGCTCGCGCCCCGTTAGATCACATTTGGTCCCGCCACGCAGGTGCTGGACCAAGTACCGCGAGCCACCCTTGGTGTGAAGCTCTGCCACATCCGTTCTAGAAGATTGTTTCTCTTCCCCGGCCTTGTCACCAATAAATCTTCCCAAGACAAAGGAATGCGTTGTAGTGTCTTCGATGGGTGGATAATTGGGGACGCCGCGGCCAGCGGGGAGCGCGTGAAACTGCTTGATCTGCTTCTGATAACAGAAGGAGTAGGACCACCAGCCAGAGAAATAGTACATACATCTCCCTTCCATTTCACGTAGGAGTTCCAGACCACGATCTGTTGCGCGAGCCAGTTCCTTCTGCTCCTCGGCCTTGTTATTCTCCTTGTCTCTCGTCGTATTATGGTCGTCATTCATGACACGCGGGATCTGACAGAGGAGTCGCCGGTCCTCGAGTATCATTTCTTCGTAGGTGAATAAAGATCCAGTCACATGTTCGTGGTGGCTGGTGAAGTCTGTTTTATCCTTGCCTATGTAAACTTGGGGGTTGTTCTGGTCATTGGGGCTAGGGCTGGCTTGGGACTGGAGCAATGCTTCAGCTTGAGATTCAAGCACATACTCCTCGGGGAATGTTATTTGGTACTTTGAGCAATATCCAATGTTAGGCTTGCTTCAAATTAGTGCAAGGAAGATTCAACCTACCTGGGGATAAGCCAGAATATCGTCATTTATGTTGAACGGCTTTTTATTTGCCCACACGCTGGACACAGCACAAGCCAATACCAGCCACGGAGACAGGCTTGCTGAGCGACCCATCTCTTTGAACAGATCAGATTAGAACTCAGTCAGGCAGAACGACAGTGGAGCCTGGGGTTGTGGAAGTCGGGTATCGTGAAGCTTCCCCGCGAAAGACGGTTGTCGCAATAAGCTTCAATTCGGCAATGTTAAAAGTAAATCAATCGCATATGGGTATCAGTGTAGTTATTTAAGAAAGAAGCAATCAATTTTGGAATGAACCAAATGCCTATGTTGTACACAATAGGCAGTCCACGCACGTCAGGTTTGGCAGTGGAGAGCGGCATCTGCTCCGTGGCCTTATCTGATAACGTCTAATCTACTGTCTACGGCCCGGGTGTAGTACTTGGAACACTTGGAAGCAGATTTACAGTATATTGCAGAATATATGGAAACAATACTTCTTGTTTTAAATATTGGGCAATATTGGCTGTATTTAAACACGCATATACTCATGCTTATATCCATGTAACTACTTAGCTTATGTGCTCCGTATAGATCCTCAATTGTCAGGTCACCTGATTTGAGATGCTGAACTCAGCATTAGTACCTCATTTATCAGGTATTTACACTAACCACACATGGTTAGCTTTTTGCTTAGCGGCTGCTGACGGGGATGTTGGTAATAAAGCATAGCCATTTCATTGGCCGGACCGGGGCTGACTGATGTCTTGCAAAGCATTGGGGATAGGTAGATACGACATAGAGTATTTATGAGATTGACTAAAGCTGACAGAATTTCCTTTCCATGCAGATCATTCTACTCTTTTCAATCGCTTCCTTTCGCATATAAATAACCATCGTCTCATCCATGAAACTACTTCTACCACTCTTAATTTGCATCACAGGAATCCTCCTTGCCTATAACCCCACTATCAAAGACTCTTTTCTCACATTCATCCAGCAACAAGCTCCTAGTCTATCACAGTACATTCCGTCAAAAAATTTCGTCAATCAGACGAACCACCACCTCAACCTAGAAACCGCGACTGCTATATTCTTCCCCATCACAGACATGTCCGTTCCTCGCGCAATCCGGCAGGCATTCCTTGCCATTGAGCAAGCAGAAGGCGCAGGTGCCCGTGTGCGCCGCTCAATTGGAACAGCCAAGCTCCGCAATTTTAGTCCGTTCCTCATGCTCGACCACTTCACCATCGGCAAGGGCGCCGGTTTCCCGGACCACCCCCATCGCGGCCAGGAGACCATCACCTATCTGTTGTCCGGCGGCGTTGACCATGAAGACTTCGCCGGTAACAAGGGCACCATCGGACCTGGCGATCTGCAATTCATGACTGCAGGCCGTGGCATCATGCACGCCGAGATGCCCCACGAGAACGAGGACGGTAGCCCCAATGTCGGTATGCAGTTGTGGGTCGATCTGCCCCAGAAGCTGAAGTTCTGTGAGCCTCGTTACCGGGATTTGCGCGCTGAGGAGATCCCTCTCGCCATGGTTGATGAGGGCCGCGTTAAGATTAAGGTCATCTCGGGCCAGTCACATGGTGTTGACTCTGTGCGCGACTTGGCTTACACCCCTGTCTGGATCTTTGATATCACAATCCAGCCGGGCGGCCGTATGTCGCAGCCTCTGCCGCAAGGATGGAACTCATTTGCCTACACTTTGGCCGGTGAGACTGTCTTTGGCTCGAATGATTCCACTCGCATAGTGAAGGAATTCACAAACGTCGAATTCGAGCAGAAGGGTGACTTTGTTGAACTTTCTGTCCCAGATAATGCCGAAAGGGACTCACGCATCTTCCTTGTGGCTGGCCAGCCTCTAGACCAAAAGGTTGTTCAGTATGGACCTTTTGTGTTGAACACTCAGGAGGAAGTTTACCAGGCGATGCTCGATTACCAGACTGCCTCCAATGGATTTGAGAGAACTCGAGGCTGGCAGAGTGAGATTGGAAAGCGAATGGGATAAAACATCATGGATGTTATCAATTGGTTTGCATTTTCTTGTGATATACGAGGTTACGTACATTATAGTGTTTGGCGTAAAGACATATGATATTGAATGAATGAGATCCTTTGTATGAATGCCTCAGCGAGTCCCGAGTAATTGGTATTATGTATATTATACATAATATCTCATCCATATTATACATGAAAAGGTCATTTTGTAGAAACTTTGCTTTTCACCGCGCTTATTCTCCTTGTGGTTACAACATCGAGAAAGAGGCACTACAGTGCTAATATAATGTCTCTAACCTTTTTTTTTTGTAATATCATCTTGGGCGAAATGTATCATATTATTGAAGTCCTACGTCAGCAAGGACAGAGCTACTCCAAGAGGCAAGTAGACGAAACCAGATTAACCTGCAATTTTCTCTTTTTTTTTTTTTCTTTCAATTTTTTAGATAAATATGCTCATATCACGATATCGCTAAACTACATGAGAAGGGGGTGATTATTCCGTCGATCCACCGTGATGTGCCACTTAAATTGTCTCGGTCTGGGTGATTCCGTCGATTTTGATACTCGCTCCCACGGTGCCGATCAGAGCAAGTCCCCTGGGGATATGGACGTCGCGAATCTTGAAACAAGCAAAGACAACCAATCTTTGGAGGGCCGGACAGCACCGGAAGATGCACTGCGTAAGGTAGTCATCCATGACAGTGCTAAAAGAAATGTCAAGATATTTGAGGTTGGGATAGATCTTGCCTTCTGCAAAAACCTGTTCGAAGGCTTTGTATGAAACATGACGGCACGATGCGATGTTCAAGTGTTGAATCTTCGAGCCCGAATGTTCCATAAGCGCAATGAAACTGTCGGACGCAAGCCCAATAGGCTCCTCTGGGCCAGTAGGATTCGTCATGTCCACATCCCGGAGGGAGTTCAAGTCGACATAGGTAAGGGCCGGGTTAGACCAGTCTGTGAAGAACGCAGCTAACCCTTTATCAGTGAAGGTCGAGTTCAGGGTAAGACGAAGCTTGGTCAGATGGCAGCAATGCTCATGGATATGCTGTAGGAGTCGGTCATCAGCCGACTCGAATTCCTCCAAAGAGATAGTTTCCAGCTGATGACCAATGCTTCCCATGATTTCAAGCAGAAGCTCAGTCTTAGTCTCGGTCTCGTGCAGAAAACGCAGCGACAGATGCTGAAGCGACTTAAGCGTCGAAATTCCCTCAAGCATCTCATTGTCGACTTTGTGTAAAAATTTCAGTTTCAGTCGCCGAAGGTTGGGACAATGAAGACACATCAGTCGAGCGGTTTCGTTGTCAAAGGCATCATCCAGGTTCCACAGTTTCAAGCTCAGAAAACGATGACCAAGTTTCATGAAAAGTTGGCGCCAACAGGCATCGGTCACAAGGTTTGGCCCATCCAGATGGAGATCTTTAATCTGCATATCGCGCTCTATCATATAATGGAAGATCTGGTCCTTCATTGGAGTGGTGAACCGAAGGTTGACCCTCGTAAGACGAGGCATGGAAGCCAGGATCCTGTGGTAATCATCCGTATCGAGTTCTAGCCACTGTTAGACTTTCTTTACTTCAAAGATAGAAATTAATTTTTACTTACTAGCGCAATCAAACAGGTCGATGGATGTGTATTGAGGTCGTAAGAACAGATCTAAGGTCCGTGAGGTCACGGCCCGCCTTCTAGACAAGATCTGACCGAGACGTAACAGTAATGACGGAGGTAGATCACCGAAGTCCTCAATATCATGGATATAATCTGCCACTTTCTTAGAAAATGGTTAGCATGCATTCATTGGTCAATGCAGGGGAATTTGAATGCCATGGAGATACCTTGATGCAAGTTTCCAGCAGAGTCTGGGTGCCATGAGGAGTCAGTCCATCAAGTAGATTAGCTTGGTTCTGACGTCGTCCAATTCCAGGGGCACGCTTCTTTGCGGGGGCTTTTTCTCATCGGCCTTTTGCTTCTTAGAGCAATCAACGCAAAGCAAGCCTCCATTTGAACCAGCCTTGCTGTAGGGAGTCACGGTGAAACGCTTGTCACAGATCTCACAGTTTGCAAGCTGACCTGGCTTTGGTCGGTTCTTTGCTTCGTGGATCTGCAGCGCAAGGAAGTCATCGTCGTTGTCATCATCATCGCAATCACCAGTAAGGCGAGCCTTTCGTTTAGCAAACTCCTTAGAATTTTTGATCCTTGCAATGGCTTGCTCGCGCTTGCGCTTTTTGATCGGGTCCTCTGGTGACTCCAAGACTGATGGAGACCTAGATTCTTCAGCTGCATTGGATGATTCTTGCTGTGCTTGGTCAGGCTGGCGCTGTGCCTCGGCTTGCCGGCGGTCCCAATCATCCCGAATTTGTTGGGCTGAGATATTATTTGACTAAACCCAGTAAGCCAAACCAGAACCATCCAGGTAAAGAGAGATTAACATACAGCAAGATAGTCAGTCAAGGCAGAGCGTCTAGAGTTACGGTTAGTCCCTGAGGGTGAATTGAGGTGGAACCAAAACATACGGGCCCCGAATGCCCTGAGACTGACTTGGCTGTCTCAGCTGCCTTGCTCGTCTCCTTCCTGTCCTTTGTAAAGTCAGCTTGAATACAATCATATAGGATAAAACTACTAGGTACTCACATATTTGAAGACTACCTGAGGTACTTGTAAAAGTGAGGCTCAAAGTCGGTCTGGGCCCGAGTCACTGGACCCGTGGCGATTTCGCGTTTCACTTAACGCGGTCTTATCTGAGATAAGACACGGGGGATATGGGGGATAAGGGGAATGTACACTGGGGGAATACACAGAAGGAGAGATATGGAGAGACTTTGAAAAGTTGCTGCTGATGATTACTGAAAATAAATATTTTGCCACCAGAAGAAAAAAAAAACCGAAAAAAAAGAACAACTAGTAAAGGGAAATCGGGGGATTCCGAGGAAAATTTCTGGTTCAGGCACCTGCTGCCTCTCAGACTTCATCCTCTTCTCTTCTTTCTCTTGATTACCTGGATTCCATCTGATTCCTATACTTTCATTTATTTTCATCTCTATTTTCTCGGCTTATTTCATCTCATCTCCTCTCTTAGCAAGTATTTCATCATAACACAAACAAGTGAAGCCGGCTTTCCCAGGTAGATCCCACATCCCCCTTCGTGTCACTTCCCCTATATATTCTTCAAACCTGGCTAATAAGATCCATTGTTACAATTTAGCACCCTCCATTCAAACCCTGTCTTTTTGCCTCTCACTAGATCCGCTCAGTTTCATGATGAGGCACAATCTGAGACCCAGAGCCACAATACCTGACTCGGACGACGATTCACAATTTAGTGAACCGACATTGAGGAATTCATCTCCCCTCCGTCGATCAAGTCGATCGGGACCTCTAAGAGCCAGTGGTTCATTTCTTCCTCAATCTCCCCCTCGCGTTATCCAAGATTCTGAGGCAGATGAGGATGACTATCTCGATCTATCGGACTCGGTGGCACCAGACAACTCTGCTTCGGACAAACTTGCGGTGGTCGTGCCCGTGAAAAATGAATCGCCCACTGACTCCAATTCTCGTAGTTCCCTCGGGAATCTGTCCACAGGCTACAGTACCCCAGCTACTAGTGTTGGTGCTGCGGTTACTGAACCTGACACCAACATTGCAGCCAAAAATTCAACGCGTATCAATGCGGCTGATCGCGTAAAGAAACTACAATCGAGCGCATTATCCCTAGGGGCTTTACAAAGAGGAAGAAAACGATCCGTGGCTGTTTTGGCCGAGGGTGATGATACCTCTGATGTTCCACTAGCCCATGCTCCTAAAAGAAAGACGGTAGAACGACCTATGGGTGGTCTATCTGTCCAAACTGATCTTGAGGCTGCTGATACCGCTCTGGCCCATGCCCTTCAAATGGACGAATATAAGTACCCACGTCCGACAACGGAGCAACGTTTGCTCGTAGACAAATTCATTGATGCACATTTGGAATACGACTCGGACCCAGATTCTAGGCCAGTGTTCTTCTCTCCGTTGAGCCCTGAGCCACCAGGCTTGCTTCCTTTTGGCGTTGCTGGTTCGGATACTTCAGATGATCCACTAGAGGGCGGATCTCCCAGTTATCTTGAGGAAGGCCTCGATGATATTCACGACTCTGAAGCAGATCTGCCCCCAACCTGGGAAGAGCAGCGGAAAGCTCGTCGTGTAAGCCGGGTTCTTTCCCCATATGCCCTTACATAACTAATCATCACCTAGGCAGAAAAAGACCGAAAGAACCTTGTGAATAAGCATCCCACAATCGGGACCATGTGGGATGTGCTCAAAGCACAGCCGATTATCCAACCAGCGGAAGCCAAGCAACCCGCCTCGATAACTCGCAAACTCAAGCCGTTTCAACTAGAGGGTTTGAATTGGATGGTAGCACAGGAAAAGACTCAATATAAGGGTGGTTTGTTGGGTGATGAGATGGGCATGGGAAAGACCATCCAAGCAGTTTCACTCATCATGTCCGATTTCCCCCAACCCGACCCGACTCTCGTCCTCGTGCCACCGGTCGCTTTGATGCAGTGGGTATCCGAGATCAAAGAATACACAGATGGCAAGCTGAAAGTCTTGGTCTATCACAATTCTGACGCGAAAACCAAAAAGTTGACACGAGCTGAAATTCGCAAATACGATGTCATCATGATTTCCTATGCAAGTCTCGAATCCATTTACCGCAAGCAGGAGAAAGGCTTCTCTCGCGGTGCAACGATGGTCAAAGCGGACAGTGTCATCCACGCAGTTCACTATCACCGCCTCATTCTTGACGAGGCGCATAGTATCAAATCGCGTACCACGGGCGTTGCCAAGGCGTGTTTTGCCTTGGAGGCTAATTACAAATGGTGCCTATCGGGCACGCCCGTACAGAATCGGATTGGAGAATTCTTTTCCCTTCTACGCTTTCTACAAGTGAAGCCATTCGCATGCTACTTTTGCAAGCAGTGTGACTGCGAACAACTCCAGTGGACCTCGACTAAAGAAGGCCGCTGCACTGAATGCTCTCACACTGGGTTTATGCATATTTCAATCTTCAACAAGGAGATTCTCAACCCAATCATCGAGGGGAAAACTCAGCAACAACGTAAAGATGGTCTCGACAAGCTCCGTCTCATCACCGATCATATCATGCTCCGTCGGATGAAGCAACAGCATACAACCTCAATGGAGCTCCCACCTAAACGTATCACGCTGCACAATGAATTTTTCGGTGAGATCGAGCAAGATTTCTCACGAAGCATCATGACGAACTCAACAAGAAAATTCGATACCTATGTCAGCGAGGGTGTCATGTTGAACAACTATGCCAACATCTTCGGTTTGATCATGCAGATGCGTCAGGTTGCCAACCATCCCGATCTCATTCTGAAGAAAAAAGCTCAAGTAGGGTTCAACATTGCTGTGTGCTGCGTCTGTGATGAGCCTGCAGAAGATGCCATTCGGTCTCAGTGCCATCATGAGTTCTGTCGCCAATGCGCCAAAGACTATATCCAATCTTTCCAGGACGATAGCAAGCATGTTGACTGCCCACGGTGTCATATCGCTCTTTCTATTGATTTGGAACAACCCACCCTTGCCGAATATGAAGAATCTGTCAAAAAGAATTCCATCATCAACCGCATCTCCATGGAGAGTTGGACCTCGTCCACGAAAATCGAGATGCTCCTCTACGAACTCTTCAAGGAGCGAAGCAAAAGCCATACGCCTAAATCCATAATATTCTCCCAATTCACATCCATGCTACAACTGGTTGAGTGGCGGCTACGCCATGCCGGATTCAATACCGTTATGTTGGATGGATCAATGACCCCAGCACAGCGACAAAAGTCCATTGAGCATTTCATGACTAAGCCCGATGTTGAGGTTTTCTTAGTCTCTCTAAAGGCGGGTGGCGTGGCACTCAACCTGACGGAAGCCTCCCGAGTTTTCATTATTGACCCATGGTGGAATCCCGCGGCAGAATGGCAAAGCGCCGATCGCAGTCACCGAATTGGCCAGCAGCGGCCTTGTGTGGTCACTCGGCTCTGTATCGAGGACTCGGTCGAGTCGCGAATCATTCAACTTCAAGAGAAAAAAGCCAATCTCATCCGGGGTACCTTGAATAAGGATCAAGCGGCGGCACTGGAAAAACTGACTCCGGAGGACATGCAGTTCCTCTTCCGAGGAACCTAGAGAATCCACCTTTACATGCCAAGTTCCCCAATACGCCACATTCGTCAGTTCCTATCCCACGAACGCAAGGACTCATGGAGCTGGTCCTTATTTTATTTTTTATTTATTTATTATTCTTATTATCACCCACATGATCCTTATGACCTTGCATTGATTTCTCTATATTAGAACAAGAATAGTTGGCTACTTATGTGGCCTTGCCACGTCATTTTTGATAGTACGTTTGACAATCTTTTCAGTGGTCCTCTAGTAGTCTTTTTAGATGTCTCTTCAGATGTCTCCTTGCCAAGTCTGTATTTTGATAGAAAAATAAGGAAATTTTCCTATCTATATGGATATTGTACACAACATAGGCGGTTAAGACATGATGAATATATAGGGTTGACCACCAAATCAAGCACGAAAAGCATTTGAACTGTTTCAAATGAGACCATAATAACCCTATTCAGGTACTCCAAAGTAGTCAAGGTATTCAAGGTAGTCAAGATACTCCAAAGTACCCCAAAATACTCCAAAGTACTCAGTACTCCGTACTCTGTACAGTGATTTCTTGGCAAATATAATCTCTGTTGCCTGGTCTCATCATTTCCTTAATAGGATTAGGTACTTCATTTGTAAGGCTGAAAGCTTGGCTTCTCTACCTTTTTTCTCTTCCCCTCTTCCCCATGGCTATTGATATTCTTAACTTGATTCTTATCTTTAATTTTGTTCATCTAGGCCATGGATGATTCCCAACCCCGATCATTGCCTGTCCATCCCATTGACAAATATGGCCCCAAATTCGTCGAGAAGGCTGACAAGATACATCACCGGGTCACTATGAAGGAAGAATCAAAGCCTGCCGGAGGCTTCGATGCCACTCCCATTCCCCATGCCCCGCCAGGCTATACCCTCAAAATTACATTCCATCGCGCAGAGGAGCTTCCCATCGCGGATTTTGGCAGTTTCTCCTCCGATCCGTATGTCTCCGCCCATATGATAGTCGACCTGCCAAAACGCCATAAACAAGACCCCGTCATGCGCTTTCGCACCCCGACCGTACACAAGGACATGAACCCGAAATGGGAATGCGAGTGGATTGTTGCAAATGTCCCCGCTTCGGGGTTTCAATTGAAATGTCATCTCATGGACGAGGACCCCGCGGATCATGATGATAAGCTGGGAATCGCTTTCATCGATGTTCCTACCCTCTCGGAGGACTGGGCAGGTTTCAAGGAGAAGTCCTTCAAGGTTAAAAAACGATTCGGGAGCAAGCGTGTCTACGTCTTTACTAATGTCTCTGCTTTTGCGACTGGTCACCAAAAGGAGTCTTGGTTAGTAGTCAGTATCGAATGCCTCGGCAAGACTCCTGGCACGGAGGGGGGTCAGATATACACTATCGGCCCCAACCTTTGGTTTAAGCATTTTTCTCCTATGATCGGGCGGCTGGCTGGCATTAAAGATCACGTTCAAAGCACAGATGGTAGTGGCAAGTCTATTAGCCGTTATAAGTGTGTCTTCCTTTCCATTCAACCTAAGCCTTTTATATACTGACCCCAAATAGTTTCCAGGCTATTCAGATGCAGCTTACAGGCCCCGTACCTGCAGAGCTATACCATCGCTATGTAGAGTTCAAGCCATTCGTAGCGGGGATGTTCCAGTCGCAGAGTCTACGCGGGCGTATCTTGCATAAAGCGCTCCATCACCAACACCAGCGCATCTACAATTTCGACCGCACTACTTTGCATGGGTCCGTCCAGACGCCTTGCCGTGAATTCGCCCAGAAGTTTCTGGAGTTTGCGCACTATGGTCAGGGTGGACGGATCTTCACCTACGTGCTCACCTTGGACGGACAATTCCGATTTACCGAGACCGGCAAAGAATTTGGCATCGATATGCTGAGCAAGCACACTATGCACAGTGACGTGTCTATCTATATTGCGTACTCAGGTGAATTCTTCCTTCGGCGGCGCAAACACCGTCATCGCTGTAACTCCTCAGAAAGGCGTGCGGAGCGCGCAGTGAATGCGGAAAGTGCAGAGAGTGCAGAGTCTGACACGGTGCCTACGCACAAGTTTCCCGTGGAGGAAGATGAGGACCACAATGAGGGCGAGGATCTGGACCAAACCGAAGAAGGGATTCCTATCTCGACCGATCCAGCGGACTACGAACTCTTTATTGATAACGACAGTGGAACCTATCGTCCGAACGCAGAGAAGCTACCACTTCTACAGGAATTCATATCCTCCAACTTCCCCGGTCTCCACGTTACGACTCTGGACTGCCAGGCGGATGCGGAACGAATGGGAAAATTGAAGGACGGGCAGCGTGAATTTAAGAAGAATCAAGGCAATATGATTACGTTCCTACAGCAAAGTAGCGCGTCTTCATTGTCAATCTCCAGTTCGGAAGAGGATGAGCTCAACGAGCGCAGTGGCCAATCCAAGCAACGGGGAGATCTTTCCCGACGAGTCCACGAGATGCGCGATCTACGAGGACAGGTGATGCGATGGGTAGAAGCGGATGAAAAGCCCGGTGGCCATAAGCACAGGCATCGGTACTTCTCTAGTCGTGAGCGCCCCGTATCGCCTGGTGTGATCACCACTGATCATAATGGGAAAGGTCAACTCGCGACTTGAGACTTGACACCCTAATTTTTCTCTTCTCTTCTTTTCCTTTTTCCTTTTTCTTTTCTTTTCTGCTTTTCGGGTCTCGGGGGCCACGAGTCTTCACGATGTTTACGAATAATTCTTGATACCAGACTGTTTCGTTGATTTGTATGGTTAGTCCTATTAATATGAATATTTTTAGAAGGTATATACGTTTCTGAATGTATTTATAGCATTTTTTGTGTCATAAGCAAGGCTATGGTCATAACTAGTATATATGTAAGTTGGATATTATTCCCCTCCCTTGTTAAATACTACTCAAGTCCAAACTAAAGGATAATTAAATCACATATACCTTTATAATGGATATAAATATAAATTCAATCTAAGTCTAAATACTTGAAGACCTTTTTTTTTTTTTTTTCAAAAAAGAAGCTTTAAACTAAAATCAATCCATATATGGGGGTGGTTACCTACGCATTTATCCGATCACTCTCGCCCCCTCCTTCAGATCTCTGAGCTCTCTCTCTCATCCCTTAGACACACCACTGAATGATTAATCAGTCTCTTTGCACGCCTCAATACAAAGGCCATCCGACTGCAAGTTTGCAGACCGTCGATGGCCAACAATTGGTCCCGCTACTTCGGTCCCTTTCTCGCGCCGTGATCTGATCCTTTTGCCATCATGGGGAATGTTGCCAGCCGCCTCGACGATGCGGGGAACTTGTTTTTCAAGGATCAGAATCGCTGTAAGTTCAAATCATCGGATCAGAAACACTTGTCGTTTCTCGATATACTGATGAAATTTTTGTGAATAGTCTCGATCGCATCGGTCACGATAAGCAACTCACGACGTCGTCTTTTGACTCTATCCCCCAACGCGTTCCCTGCGGCGAGGTTCGCAGCCAAGCGCGATGTCGGCGATGACACTCCGATCGAATATATTCAGGTACGCAGTGCCCAACAGCCTGGATGCGTGGAGGTCATCTGGCTAACAAGACCAAACACAACAGGACCCGGATACCCCCTCCTCCGCTCCAGTTCCGACGTTCATGCTACGCTTGTCGAACGACGAGGAGCTAATCTTCAAATTCACCTTCATCATTCGTCAGACACAGACTGGAAATGCTCCAAACTCCGTCAATGGTGTCTCAACAACTATGCCCGAGGTGGCAGACACCAGTCTCACGGGTCTCACGTTCGCTCACGCATCCAACTCCAAGGAACTCGATAATCTAATCACAAGAGAGTTCCATGCGAACCCCAACCTTCAGAATAATTCTAATGTCCAGCTGATCGGAGATTATTCTACTGGGGGCAGCCCGTCTGTGTCGTTCGAATGGTCATGGAGATGGAAACCTCCGAAAGCAACAGAGGACAAAGGCGGAGGCTGGCGCAACAGCTGCAGCTTCTTAGACTACGACCAAAGAACAAACCGCCTTAACACTCTCGCCCATTTTTCCTTCTGGGTGCACAACTCCAATCGTCCACTACCGAGTCCTCAGATCTCATCACCAAACTTAGAGTTACCCGTCTTCCCGCGCTCTCGTATTTCATCAACTCAATCCGTCCTATCTTACTATAGCGATGCCGAATCCACACGCCCGGTCCCCTCCACTGTTTCGCCTGAGCTAGCGGAGAAGTCTCTTCCGCTCCCTCCTCCGCCGTCCGTGCCCCCTCCCCCACCACCAGCCAAGGTGGATCTCCCACATTCGCGAGCAGGTGATGAGATGAGCGGGGTAGAGGATGGGCCCTTGTTCCGAGCGACTATGAAAGCGCTAGAAGCGAAAACAAGCAACATGCGAAGCAAAATAAAAAAAGTGCTCAAGAAAGCTGAGAGCGCACAGCTAGCGCAAACCAGTTGCAACGAGGCCATGGAAGCGTTCATAGGCTCATTGAATGATGCGTCCACGTCCAATGCAAATGCCATTCAACCTGCGTTAGATCATTACTTCGAGAAGATCGCTCGGCAGATTTTGAAATACGAGCAGCTCAACACGATGCAACTTCAGAAGCTCGTGATTGATCCTCTGGTCAAGCTATATAATAACGATATCAAACAAGCAGAAGCCAAAAAGAAGGAGTGGGACGAAGAGAGCCGCGACTATTATGCATATGTTAGTCGGTATCTTGGCCAGCGACAGGATTCGCTGAAAGAGAAGAAGCGTGCTGAAAGTGATACAAAGTATCAAATCAAACGGCGGAATTTTGAACTGAGACGATTTGATTATTCTTCGTTTATGCAAGATCTCCACGGAGGTCGCAAAGAGCAAGAGGTTCTCTCACATCTCACCAAGTATGCAAGTTGCCAGGCCAAGAACTTCCTGTTAGCCGCCAAAAATGTCGAAACAATGACCCCCCAACTAGATGCCTTAATTCACGAGGTGAACCAGGCCGATAAGGAGTTTCAATTCCAGCGTACAGAACGTGAAGAAAAGCGCCGGGCTCTGGAAAATGGCAGTAACCCGTATCTTGAGCCCGATGCAGTGACCGGTACGACGAGTGTACCTACTATCCCTCCTGGAACTTCCAATGGCGTCCCTTCTGTTGAGGTTGAACTTGGTCGGGCTGATAGCACAGGCTCCCAGCTTCGAGGGGTCATTAGCAACAGCTCTTCAATTTCGTCTCAAGTAAATGCAGGATCGGTTGCATCTGCTACGGGAATCAGTGCACCTGCGTCAAACTCGACGGCGGTTGGTACTGCGGGCCAGAATCGCTTCAAAGGTATCCGAGATCTCGAGGAACCAAACAGTCTTGGATCCGATCGAACCAGTGGCCAACAGCGAAAAGAAGGCCTCCTGTGGGCACTGTCCCGTCCGGGGTCTCACATCGATCCCAAGGGAATCAACAAACAGGCGTGGCACAAGTAAGTACGAGCGGCATGAATGGTCGATCAAACTTCTAACTTTCTCAGATTTTGGATTGTCTTGGATCAAGGAAAATTATCCGAGTACAGCAACTGGAAACAAAAGCTAGATCTACACATGGACCCCATCGATCTGCGTATGGCGTCCGTTCGTGAAGCTCGAAACGCGGAACGACGGTTCTGTTTTGAAGTGATCACACCCCAGTTCAAACGTATTTACCAAGCCACATCTGAGGACGACATGTCAAATTGGATCAGGTCAATCAACAACGCGCTACAGAGTGCGGTTGAAGGCCAAGAGACCCCACCTCCCTCCGCATCTAGGAATGATATCCCGGCTAGTCGGGATATCGGGTCTGCTTTAACAGGGAAAAGCTCGTCGGTGTCTGGCCACCATTCCTATTCCTCCTCTAGCTCTAGCAACAACGCTGGCGTTTTCCGCCGAACAACAGTCGGCGCCCGCCCGGGCTATGTCCGTCATGATAGCAACAGCTTTGAAGAGAATCCCGCAAAGCTACTGCAGGTTGTACGGGATGCGGACCAAGGCAACAACTGGTGTGCTGATTGCGGATCATTGTCCAAGGTTGAGTGGGTGTCCATCAACCTCGGAATCATTCTCTGCATTGAATGTAGTGGAATTCACCGCTCTCTGGGCACGCATATATCCAAGATCCGCTCTCTCACATTGGATGTACATTCCTTCTCAAACGATATCGTCGAAATTCTCCTGCAGATTGGCAACCGCGTCAGCAACATGATTTGGGAGGCGACCCTAGATCAAACTCTCAAGCCAAGTGCCAGTTCTACACGAGAGCAGCGGTTGAGATTCATCACCGCCAAATATGTTGATCGAACGTACGTTGAGAATCTACCTTCACCACGTTCTCGCTTCGCGACACCTGATGAAACACTTCTCGCGTCGATCAAACAGAACGACATCCAAGGTGTCCTCTATGGCCTCGCCCTACGCGGCAATGTAAACATAACCGATCGCTCTCGCAACACCCACGCAACCTTCCTAGCCCTTGCCGCAGCCGATCCTGCGTCCCCAGGCCCCCCGCCGACCACTCTAGTCGCCAGGTCTAACGCAAAGGCCATCCCGTTTCCTATCGCCGAGCTGCTAGTCCAAAACGGTGCCGAGATCCCGCCACAACCCCCCTCCATCCCTCTCTCCCCCGCAGCCAAACTCTACCTCAGCCAACGGACCGCCCGCACATCTGCTTTTAGCGTGCCTCCACCGCCACTAGGTGGAAAATCCTCTGCAAACGATACACTAGGCTCTCTCCCAACTATCCGCAGCAAGGAATCTTCCTCTTCATCAAACACTCCAACTCTCGCAGAGAGCAAAGACAAAGATAGAGAGAAGCTCTCCAAGAGAGGAAGCGCTGGTGCCCGTTTTGCGGGGAAAGTGGCTTCACTTGGAATTGATCGATAAAAGGGCTTATCCTCCGCGCTTTATCTTGTCTATATTCCCCGTCATAGCACATCAGCCGCGCCACCCATAATCGTAATTATATCAGTGTTTAATGAGATTCCGCATGAAAATTCCCCTCTGATGACTTTTGGATTTTCCTTTCGCTCTTTGCTTTATGTTTCTGGTCGTCGGAATCTTTATCCCCCCCCCCCCCCTTTTTTTTGCTCTTCGGCTCTGACTTATATGGGGCCCAGGCGGTGATTTCTTTCTCATTATTTTCCGCTTCTTGGTGTCAATTCTGTTTTGGATGGTTGCTCACCACTTTCTTGGTTTATTGTCTTCCTAGGACAAATTCAAATATGGCTTAGGTCTATTGCCTTTACCCTGAGTTTCGACTATTCTGTTTTACCATATGTAGTTATGCTCTGGTGTGTATCTCCATATCTGACATCTATGTCCGAATTTCCGGACGACTTGTACTTATCGAAGTTTGGGGGGAATCTACTATACCAGTAATCATGATGGCCATGGGTGAATGAAGTTCTCTAACCGTTCGTTATCTACATAGGTTGTCTCCTGTGGCATATATACCTGTTTTTCGCCTCCCCTCGCCGACCACTTTTCCATATCAAACAGTACACTACTGTATACTGGTACTGTATCTTGTACAGAAACGAAGTTGCCTAACAGTGGCAATGCGCCCAAACCTTCACACTGACCCCAGCAGCTGATGATGATCCCAACGATCACAGAGCTAGAACTGCAAAGCCGTGGGGCTGTGGCGTCTAGCGGTGGCCGACTGTGGTAGGACCTGCAGTTTGCAGAAAGTGGAAACACCGACGGAGTACTCCGTACTCCGTACATCAATCACTACGGATTATTCCGTACATCATACAACATGGATGGATACGAAGATATGGAGACGTGGTGGCTGTGAAGGGTTGCTCCATCCTGTGTAGCAGGCTGGTATTAGGGTGGGTGGTGTATTCGATTGGGTTCCCGTTGTCAAATGCCCCAGCATGGCGTCCGCCATAGAGGGGGGCTCATGATTTTCTCGAGTCATGGATCAATATAGCAAGGCAGAAGAGACATGTATGAATTCCATGACGTCAGGGGATCCAGTGGGGCGCCTAAGGTGTCCATGTGGCGTCTAATTCCACAGGGAATAATGACAACACTTCGAGAAGATGCTGGGCCACTCATGTTAAGAGTGATCGCCAATTCCCGTTAGACTTCGCTATTTCTTCTTATTCATCGTATGCAGCATGCATGGAAGGCGCTAGAATACAGATTTGGAAACAGGGTTATAGTCTAATTGGAGCATACTCCATTCCATCGTAGTGGTCGATAGTAGGCAAAGGGCATTGGAAATACAATAATATATGAGTGATGGACAAAGTATACCTCCGTGCTGTGTGAGAAATATGTAGTTATGTCGATTGAAGTGTAGAACCTAGTCAGCTGATCCGGGTAAATAGTCCGATACTTAACAGCCAATATAATAAATACAACGTATCCACAATATATATAACAACATATGTGCCCAAGAAATGAAGCATAGTAGAATACATATGTATGAACTATTCTCTACTATATCTACTAATATTAAGAAATATGACATTCCCAGGTCTTATGCAAGGTACGTACCCATCAAAAACAAGAACGAGAATGATCAATTCTTTGGTCTATCTCTTATTTCCTCGTGTGGCAATCACAGGTGTACCTATGCAAAATAGTAGTTTGGGCAGACCATCGTACAGAATATATATAGTAACAATATACATACATATACACTGTGAAAGAAGGCATACATATATATCCACTGTAGTGTGGCTTTCTATCAAACCAATCAGATATATCAGAAACAGCCACAATGACTCTGGAGGCATTTAGGCATTTAACTTGGTACTATATCTATCTATGTAGATCTTTAGTTGTGGCTAAGAGCTAACAGCTAACATAGAGGCTTTGTAGAAGGGTAGTCCTAATATAGTCTTAATAACAACCTCTGATTGGCTGGCCCGAGATGCCGGGGACAAACTGAGTGGATCCCAACTTCACTTCCCTTTTCTCTTTTCCTTTCTTCTCTCTCCGTCACTTTATTTTTCAATTGGTTCATTCTTGGAAGGGGGGGGGGGGAAGGGGAAATATCCCCTAATTTGATGTGCAGATTTATGTCTCACTTCTTTTTATTTTTTTTCGGGATCAACCTCCATTTGATCCCCACTAAACGGTACGGATGTTGTATCCACGGCATATACTCTGAAACGGTGCTCCAGAGTCAATACTACATCGTACAAAGTACACCATATATTGAGGCTTCCCCCCCCCAGCTACCATGGGCCAGGATCAGACAACCGTGCTCTGTTGCACTATACAGTAGCACATGGTCCCTTTTGTCTTTGAAATGGGCTTCAACTCGAACTACAGTATACAATATTGTATACTTCCCAATATCCAAGACGTCGGAAGGAAATATCCATTCATAATTGGTTGGATCATGATCGAGCCTAGTGGGAGTGTATCCAAAATAGCTCCATCGGGTCCTTTCCCCTTGTTATGAGGCGCCCCGTCGCATCCCAAACGCCTCATTCTGTCCAAGTCTGATAGGCGTTGGCCTTGCAACATATGACTGTACTGTTGTACCGTACAGGTTGCACGATCTCATTCTATCCATTTGTACTCTCTCTCTCTCTCTTCTTCTTCTCATTACCCTCCCTCATTGGGGTTTCTTGATTTTTTATCACAACACTTGTCCTAGTCCTCTTTCCCCTGAAAGTGGCAAATCTATGGCATTTGAACTCGATTGGTCTAGGCTCGAAGAGGCTCCCCGGGTGTGTAAGTCACTTCAATTTCTCTCTCAGGTAACATTTTGCCCCAACCGCGACAATTCTGCTGGACCCGCCAGACGGCTAAAAAAGACTGGGAAAAAAAAAGAAAAAATAATGATCTGCGTTGATGCAGACCCTGCACAAATGACATGATACTCAGCAAATTATTTTCCCGAATTACTTTGTATATATTGAATTATATAGGGTTGAAAACAATAAAAAGAAATTCCAAAAATAGGCCTATATATTCAATTTATAAAATGCCTAATGCTTATATACATGATAATACAATATATAATCCATATATAATCCATATACAATCCATATATAATCCATATATAATACAATATATAATACAATATATCCCGAACCTATGCTTCTTTTTTTTTTTTTTCTTATTTTCTAAGGTTTCCCTATTAGTATTCTTTTTTTTCTAAATCTTGGAAACTATTAAAGCCATTGACATACATAGCCTATCACTTGTCAAGTTGATTGGCTTCAATTTTCCCCAGGACCCTCTTCAAAATATACAATACACTATTTATCTCCCTTCGGGCACCTTTTTCTTTTCCTGCCTTATACTTCTCTCTTTCTCTTTTCACCCAACTCAGATCACTATTTTAGCCTCTTTTTCCTACAGCTCTTCTGCTCAAATGCCATTTACCAACATTTGAAAAAAAAACAGTTTTTGCTCTTGGTCCTGTCTAGACTATTGTCAAGTAACACAGACGACCTTTGAAACAAATTTCTAGGTGAGTCAACTCTTTTCTTATTTTTCTAGATAAATTTCATATTCTCCTTGATCTGGTATTTCTCTTCCCCCTTCCCCTCATATATCTGACTGGTCTGGCTGGTCTGGCTGGTCTGGCTAGTCTGGCTAGACTAGCTAGGCTAGGATGTGGTATACTTTTTCGACCTGTTCCAGATTATATTCGCCTTAAACTTCCCCTTATTGTGCCTAACCCACTGTTTCTCTATAATCCCTCTTTTGATATCTTTTCCGTTGTCCCACCTACTTTATTTTTGTGAGCCTCGTGGGCTTATTGCCTAGAAGAGGAGAAGGGGGGGGGGGGGGGAGTGTTAGTGCAGTTGTGCGCTGATTTTTCTTCTTTTTCTTCCTTGTCTCCCCTTTCAATTTCCTCAATTCCTCTATTCCTCTTCCTTACCATCAAAATCCCACATTCTAATTATATTTCCTTACTGGAACTAACTTGCATAGCTTGGATTTTACATTCCCTTCTGGATCTGAATCTTTACAGTTCCCCTTTTCTACCGTCTTCCATTCTCTTCTATTATCTTTTCTATCGGATTTCACGCGTGAACAAGTCTGATCTGGATCTGTGGGATTCCCTATAGTACCCGGCTATTTGACTTAATTGGTAAGGAAGATCTCGAGTAGGATGTGTCCATTTTGTACACACACTAAAATACTATAAAAAATGTAGTGCTCATTTCATTACAATTTGAAGTTCCTTCAACAGCCCCCATGGGCAATGTTTCTTCAGAAAAGACAGCCGATGGGACAGCCCCGGTATCAGAACAGGGTTAGTCCTTTCCAAAAAAAATGTCCATAGAGGTTTTATATCGACTAAAATCTCCTCTCAGATGCTTCTCCTGCTTCAGCGCGACCCTCCAATGCCAGACCCTATTCCAGCTTCGCAGAAGCTCGATATGGAACCGCCCCTTCTCCCTTAAATATGGGCAACATGGGATACTCCTTTCCAGCCCGTCATTCACAAGGTTCGCCATATGATCAGTACTCGGCTCATGGGCAAGGTATGATGTATCCCATGCCAATGGCCCCGTATGGACACAACTCCGGCATGGCGTACGGTATGCCTTACCCAGCTTATCCGCCGTATGCGATCCCTCAACACCCAGGCCCTCAATCTGGAACTCATTATCCACATGGAACCCAAATGCAAAATCTCAGTCCCGGGCAAGTATCTCCCTATGGTTCGGGCTATTACCCCCATTTAGCATACGGTCCCCCTTATGGACATGGAGTGTCTCCCGGCCAAATGCCCCAGGCTGCATCTCCAGTCCGTGCTAACCCAAGTTCGCCATCGAAACCGGGCTCTTTGCGCAAAGAAGCCGATAAACGCATGGCGGAATTGGAATATGACGTCTCAAAGACCATCGTGGATGGATCGAATCCCATGAAATTAGTGCCCCAGCCGCTCCTCTCCGGTGAGCCTTTTTTTTCGAATCTCTTGCTTTGGAACCGTGATTGAAACCGCTACTAACATGCAATATATCTAAAGACAATAGTTCCCCTTCGCAACCAGCCCCGACCGCGCCGAGTACCCCACGAGGACCACCCCGAAAACCAAAGCAATCTGGCCACGCGCTCTGGGTTGGAAATCTCCCCCCAGGAGCCAATGTCATGGATCTCAAGGACCATTTCTCGCAAGATGCAACGAACGACATCGAGAGTGTGTTCCTGATCTCCAAGAGTAATTGTGCATTCGTGAACTACAAGTCAGCTGCCGCCTGTGTCGCGGCATTGGCGAGATTCCACGACTCCCGATTCCAAGGCGTACGCGTTGTCTGCCGATTACGAAAGGGTTTTACTGCTCCAGGGTCTGGCTCAGCGGGGGTGACAGGTCCCGTGAATCATGGTCTCCGGCCACGATTAGAGGATATTGCTACAGCTACAGACCCAGGCGAGGACCATTCAATCGCCCCGGAGCTCAGCTCAGCCTCGCCTGCTACGGGGAACTATCCACCACCAGCCCGGCTGATAGATCGGTACTTTATTGTTAAAAGCTTGACGGTGGAGGATCTCGAGCTGAGCAAGCAAAGTGGCATTTGGGCTACGCAGTCGCACAACGAGGCGGCGATGAATCAGGCTTTCGAGGTGAGTATAGACCTATGCAGTAACAGCCAATGACCGAAACTGACCTTTGCCCAGAATACCGATTATGTCTATTTAATCTTCTCTGCCAACAAATCTGGCGAGTATTTTGGATACGCACGTATGATGTCGCCAATCAGCGATGACGAAGAGCTTGCCCTAGAGATGCCATCTCGGCCCGATCCCCCGCTGGGCGGGTCCGACGATCTCGACGTGACCCTAACAGCAGCCACCTCGACAGCGCCCCAAGGCCGAATCATCGATGATTCCGTGCGGGGTACTATCTTCTGGGAAGTTGAGTCGTCGGAAGATGAAAATGACAACTCCAGCGAGAAGAGCATCGATCCTGAGGATCCGGAAGAGGGCCAAACCTTTGGTAAACCGTTCCGCATTCAATGGATTTCGACGGAGCGAGTGCCCTTTCAGCGCACTCGTGGCCTTCGTAACCCTTGGAATGCGAATCGGGAAATCAAAATCGCTCGTGATGGCACTGAAATCGAGCCAACGATTGGCCGTAGGCTGATTCAGTTGTTTCATTTGCCTTGAAATTCCTGATTTCCTGGTTTCCTGACTTGGGAATGATCTGCTCTGTCTTTTGTCTGTGTGGTTATCAATATCCCTATTTCCAGGCCTGAAGTGGCAGACATCGACAGTGGGGGTTTATTCCAGTTGGAACAATAAAATAAGGATAGGAATTTCTGGCTCAAATACCAGAAATTTCGAAATCCAGCACATATAACACTTTATGGGAAACGAGCAATACACGATGTACGTTGACATTTTTTTTTAACTTATTTTCTCTCCTTGTTCTTATGGTACGAACGATGCTCCCTCCCTCCTCCTCTTCCCCCCTCTTTTCTGCAGGGATTGGCGTTTGTTATTCTGCATGATACCCTTCCCCCCCCCCCCCCCCCCCCCCCTCTCTCTCCCTCTCTCTCTCCCTCTCCCCAAATGTCTGTAAAACAGCTTGACTATTATATGTGTTATAGGTAGTGGACTGTAAAATCAATTCGAATATATGAAGTCGCCATGATTCATATCCTATACCCTATATATACACGGAGTATATACATAGCTTTATATAACATTATACATTATATAGTGTCCCTCAATATTCGGTTAAGACATTCCTAGAGTGAAACCTTGGAAATATTAAGCCCAATTATAACCAGTCGTAAGCAATTATAACCAGTCATAAGCAGCTATAACCAAGTTATAACCACGTTATAAAATTATAATAGCTCGAGTCAACTATTATACCCTAGTTATAATCAAAAATTCACTAATTAGTTAGATGACATCACGTGGGCATTACTCTCCACTTAGCGCCACTTTCCCCAGATAATGTGATGCTTAGCTTTCTTCTGCTCGGTGAACCTCAGTATATTTCCCACTTCTCTTCTTCTTTCTTCCCAACTTACAACTTCTTCTATACTCAATTCTCTATCTCATTTTCATCTGAACTCTTTCAAATATTTCAATCTTTCTTCAAGATCTCCCGTCATTCCTCCCTTTCCAAGTGCTGAGATCACACCATTCTCGTCACTTTCATCTTGCTCGGTTCTCCAATTTTCTTCTTTCTATGAGAAGGGCGGCTAGTCCGTCCAGATTTTCCTGTTCTCAGTTCAGACCCTTCTTCATCTGACAATGTCTAACGATCGCACATCCCCCATCTCGGTCCCAAACGCGGAGAACCGTCCACGTCGCGGTTCCATCGCCGACATTTTCTCCAAGCCGAGCAATCCATCCACCCATATTACAAACCCACAGTCCAACCAGCGTCGGCTGTCAATCACCACGCTGGGCCTCTCTGGTTCCCCCACTCAGACGTCCGCCTTCGGTGGCAACCGCAATTTCCGTCGAGGTAGCCTATCTAGCTCAATGGGCTCTAATGTCCCCGCCGAAGATGCCCTCGAGGACGATCAAGGAACAGGAACCTCACCCAACTCGCAGTTTGGGAGACGCGTCTCCTTTGGTGCACAGGCCCTGCGTGATGCTCGCGTAGGAAGCATAGGCAATGGTAGAAACCACCCCCCTCCATCTGCCGTAGGCCCGCGCCGTTCCCCTCCGGCCGGCTCGGCCATCATTGCTACCAGATCTTCCGCAAGTACTTCAACCTCTCCTCTGGATGAGAGATCTAACGCATCACGCCGACCCTTAGGCGAAGGCTTTAACTGGTCAGAAGCCCTCCGCTCTCGTGCCGAGCGTGCTCCTTCCATTGGCAGCCCTGTCTCCCCGCAGGCAGCCCAGCGTTCCAACGGTCACCACCAGCGTGCCGCTTCCATTGCGTCAATGGAGCAACCTAGCCGGGAAATGCCCCGTCAACCGAAGCAGAATAAGCCGGATTTCTTCCAGGAGAAAATCTTGAGAGGTGACTTTATGGATTAAAAATTTGATTCTCGTCACTTTTCGAGGGAAGTATATCCTCATCGGTGCTACAGGGCCTCTCTTGCTGTTTTTTTTCTCTTTTCCCGCATTGGACGCTAAAAAGTCTCAACGGACTTGTACAATTCTGGATTCCCATCCTCTTGATGTGTCTTCCCGGCTTTTTTTTTTCTCTTTCTGAAAATAAGTGGAATATGTATCAAAATGATTCATGGAGGATCATCAATTCATCTCTTTTCAGCTCTGGGTTTGGCGTTCTCATATGTTTCTAGGCCCTTCTTCCTTACCCATCATCCTGGTGATGATTTTATTCTTATGACTACTAAATTGACATATATTGGTCACTGGTTATTGGACTACAAATTGTATTTTGAAGTACTTTATAACTCTTCTTTTCAGTATACACGCACATGTGCACATATGTACTGAACTTCCCCATATGTTCATTACACCCATCACACAAATTTCGCCCACCCCCTTCGGTCCATATACAGCCCACCACTGTCACTCCAAGGTCACCCAAGACCCTCAGGAGAAATGCGAAGAAGGTCCAGTCCCAGCATCATCCGCAGTCTCAGCATGTGTATGTCCAGGCACACCCTCCGACACCTTCTTGCTCGCCGACCTCTCCTCTTCCTTGTTATACTTCTTCGCAACCTTCCGATCCATAAGTTGATCAGTGGTGAGCCGATTCTCCGGCTCCGGCGGCTTCCACTTGCTACTCTTCCACGGCGGCACCCGCATTATATACATCATATCCATCTCCTCGAGCGTCTTGTCCTTACCCTCGATGACAAAGAAGTAAACAATGATCACCGCGAAGAACAAACACCCGGCAAATACATACCCATATGCAAAGTCAATATCGCCAGTGATAAACGGCGTGAAGAATCCAATTAGGAAATTCCACAGCCAGTTTGACGCCGTCGCCATCGCCATAGCCCGCGCCCGGTACCGCGATGGATACAGCTCAGCCACAATTGCCCACACCATCGGGCCCCATGTCATGGCAAATCCGGTGATGAACAGACACGCAAATACAACCATCGCTTTGCCCGCTCCGGGTGTGTTACGCGGCGTATTCACATCAAGCGAGAAGTGACCCACAGATGCAAATACCATAAAGCAGATGAACATCCAGATCCCACCTGCGATCAGAGACTTGCGTCGTCCGAAGTGCTCGATCACATATAAGCCGCCGAATGTCGTGCCAAAGTTTACTCCGCCTAGAATCATCTGCGTCACATATGTGTTGTCGATCCCCGCACCGTTGAAGATCACCGTTCCCTAGATATATATTAGCCTAAGCTCGACATGCGAGTGTTGCATCACACCACTGGGGGAGAAATCACAGACTCACATAGTAGAAGAAATAGTTGGCTCCGGTCAGCTGCTGCAGAGCTTGGAGCGTGACACCTAGTACAATGCGGTACAGCATGCGTGGCGCCTGGAACATCTCAAACCAACCGCGGAGCCCACCTCGCGCCCCCTTCTCGGCATCCAGCTGTTCCTGAATCTCGGCAATCTCATGCACGATCACCCGGTGGTTCTCAGGTATGCCGTACAGCTTTGACATAGTGCGTCGGGCACGGTCCACGCGGCCGTGCCGGTAGTCAAAGCGAGGACTCTCCGGGAAGAGGAGAATGCCGATTCCAAGGACAAGACCCCATAGGAATGTGATACCGAGTGGGATTCGCCACGATGCAGTGCTGTCCAGATGCTCCGTGCCGAAGTTGATGCAGTATGCGATGAAGATGCCTAGTGTGACGAATAATTGATAGGAGCTGGGGTTGCGTCAGGGTTATGATGTGTATTGTAATGTTGTGTGTTGGATTATTACTTACCACACCATCGCTCCTCGGATATGTCGTGGTGCAATCTCACCTTGGTACATTGGCACCAGTAGTGAGCAGGCTCCCACGCCGAATCCGGTCACGAATCGACCCATCATGAACTGGTACCATTTTCCTGCTGGCGAGGAGATCTGGATAATCAGTCCTACATGGAGAATGATGCACCAGAAGAAGATGGACCATTTTCGACCAATTCGGTCAGTCAATGGTCCGGCGAGGAGAGCTCCTATCAATGTACCGATGGAGAGCTGGAAAGCGTTAGATTTTCCCACATTCATATTCTCTTTCCAAAGACATGCAACAATATTCACTCACCATGGAAACAATTAATCCAGACCGGACATTGTTGAAGTGGTACGTCCCATCAGGCTTCAGCTGCGCAAACCGGTGTTTGAAGTTCTTCATCTCCAAAAAGCCCGAGATTTGGCCAGTATCATATCCAAAAATAACACCACCAATCGAGACAAACGCACCAAGCAACGCAGATCTCCATGTTACCCATGGCACACGCGACTCATCCAGAGTGATGCCTCTCTTCTCATTCTCTCGCTCCGCCATAGTTGACTCCCTCGTCAAGTCCGTCAATGGTGGGGACTTGGACTTGCTGAGGAATGGGATTCTCATCCTGGAGATGGGAGGTTGGAGGTGTATGCAATATATAGGTGGTGTATTTTCATGCGTTAATCCAGGTGTTGGCTGAGTAACTGGGATATATTTGGCATTGGTCCGGAAATTGAGCTGTGTCCGAGGCTGTCTTGCACTTTATAAAGGTTTGGCCCAATGTCAAGTGTCTTTGCATCGTCATATTGCCACTTCCGGAACAGTTCTCGGGCCTAGTATGATGTAGATCGTCATGCATTGAATGCGCCACTTCGTGTTAGTTAATTGAAGGGTATGTTGTAATATGAGTTATCATGTTGATATTGGATATTTATAGACGGATTTACACTGCATTTTCAAAGAAGTCATTTATTCTCTATAGTCCATACAAATATATGGGTAACAAAATGAACAAAATCAGTCTTGTCCTTGGTATACATGTCCATGTCGTGGTGCCGATGAAGTCGTGACGTCAACTGTACTTTTTCCGTCCAAAAAGAAAAATCGGAGATGAGACAGCCTTGAGGGACTCTGGAGAATCATTAGATTGAACTAATTATAATAGTGTATTAGAATGAATGGCTCCTTGTTTTTTTTTTTAAAAAAAAAGAATGAAGCAAGTTGTATGGACGTTTATAGAAAAGAAAATGGCCGGTGTACAACATACACAACATCTAGTCTCAGTAAGGAATACCGTTGGTCATCAGCTGGAACTGATCATAACCCTTAGTCGACACGCTCATGTACGACTTGCGCACAAGTTCCCGCATGTACTCGGCCGCATCGCGCTCGCTCTTATCCAACACAAACCGGTCACGGAAATTCTTCAGAGTCTCAGGCTTGAAGCACGGAAGGCCACTGTCAAGCATGAGAGAGACAATATGAGCTAGCTTCGTGCTGTAAGGGCGAGATGCAAGGAATGCCTTCACCACCAACGACTCGAACCACCGGTATGGCTGTGTGTTGGTCGGGTTATGGGAGTTGCCTGGCAGGTTGATTCCCGAGTTGCCGCCCTGGTGATGGGCTGGGTCGTGGGTTCCACTCATTACGGCGACCATCTCGGAAGTCAACTTGAACGGCGCACGCTCGAATCGCACTCCACCAGGCGCAATATCAAAGCAGAATCCGAAGTCAATGTGGATGATATGTCCGGCATCATCAATCATGATATTTCCATTATGTCGATCCTTGAATTGCAGCAGGTAAGATATGACTGAGTAGGCGGCCATACTCTTGACGAAGTTGGTGCGGGCTTCTTGGAACCGGATAGAGTCCTCGCCTCCGTATTTCGATACGAAGTAGTCATATAGCCCATTGACGGCCTCGCGGCCGAGCATGTCGCGAGAAATGGAGTTGGGAAGCACATCAATCACACCACAGCCAGGCGCTGTCGAAGTCACCCGGTAAGGGTAGACCCAAACGTCTAAGCCAACACTGGTGAAAATGCTCCGGAAGGCCGCAATCATCTGTAGGGCAAGCATATCCTGACGACAATCGTCACCGACCTTGAAGATAGCTGACTGCCACACTTCATATGTCTCCTGCTCAGATTCTGAATGATTGGTCAATTGGCGTTGGTGGTTATGGTCACCAGAGTTGGCCTCGGCCTTTTCAATCAATCGTTGCCTTGTCTTCTGAATTCGGAACGTCGCCATATAAGGCGCCTTTGCGTGACTTTGCAAGGGCTTACCAGACTTGCGGTCGATACCAACGACTACACCGTCGGGGTTGCTGGGAAGGTACACTCCAACTTCCACCTTGATTTTGCGCAGCTCTTCCTCAATTTTCTCCTTCTTCTCGGGCTTACTTCTCTTGATATAGGGGCGAAGTTTGCCGGAGACATCCGTGACTTCATTGAAGAATGAAAATTCTCTCTCATAGAAGGCACGCTCCTCGTCTGAGAAGCTTGAGATCAAGTTATCTAAGAAACGGTCAAGTGTATCTTTGATAGGGTCCGGCTGTGAAGAGTAGGATGTTAGCCAATGATGATCAGGCTTTGATAATATCAGTACTTACGATTTGAGAATCCTCGTCCTTGAAGGAGTTGGCTTTCATGTTCCAAATGACTTGGTGGGCAAACAACTGAGACAACTTAGCTGTTTCGAGAATGTAACGATCTACATACCCCAGAGCATCGAAGCGCAGGGCTTGAACCAGTTGTGGTACAAAGTAGAACCGAACATCCATTGAATAGCTCTCCAATGCCCGCATGGCGTACTGTAAGATGTAAGGATGGTTGCCGTAAGCAGGCATAAAGTATGTGATAGCCTCCGTAGGAGTAACGGGAGCCCAGTATAGCATGTATTTCAACTGGGAACCGACATCAGCGGGCAGACAGTTATCAAACATAATCTCCAGAGCACTTGGCTCTTCAATGACTTTCTCAGGGAAATTCAGGATCAATGACCTAACATCAGCCTGCATTTTGGGCGAAGGGAACCGGGCAGCCATCTGAATAGCCAACCCTGCATCTTCCACCCAGGCAAGCTGAAGTAAAGATACGGGGCTATCATCGGGATGCTTGCCTCCAATCGAAGGTATGTGATGCTTTCGCTCCGGATCCAGGGGGAAGAGCCAAACTCGAAGGCGGGATCGTTCGTTCTCCACGAGAATTTGAAGCAGGTCTTGTTTGGCTTGCAAAGGCTTATATGACCCCTGTACATTGGCAGCGATGCCTGCAACGCCTCGTAAAGCTGTGGTCAGCTCGCTAAGGATTCTATCCTCTGCCTTAATCTGCAGCCGATTTCCTCCGAATGACCACCTTGGAGGGTGCTTAAACCAACTCAAAGCAGCAGACAGAATCTGATCCTTGAGTTTCCAAGATGCACCACTGCTTCGGGGGCTGAGATGTCTCAGAACCTTGAGACCGAGGAGCACAATACGGAAATGAATTTCTCTTGCCAATGGATGGCCCTTGGTCTTTGAAAGTCCGACAACCGTACTACCAATCAATCGACAAAACAGCTGTTGGTCTTGCAGATTTCCTAGGCGAATGGCATTGAAATGACTCTCGAAGAAATGTAGAACTCGCAGGTGCGGCGAGAGAGTGTCTTGAGCTTTTTGCTGCATGCGAAGCATAAGGTCCTTATCAGTTGGCAAAAGTTCGATCTTAGTATGCAGTGGGTCAAGGTATTCAAAGGTGGGATCGAACAATCCTTGACGGCGCTTCATGCTTCTCTCCCAAGCCTCGACCACCTCGCATAGGATCCGTGGCTCAGTGCTTGGGTTCTCGTGAATGACTCCAAGCCAGAGAGATACACCAAGCTTGACTGTCTCCTTGGTGAGAATCTGGAAAGGCAAAGCGACCAAGTAGTGAACTACGGAGAGTCGTGGCTTGCTGCTACTGCAAATAAGTCCTGCAGCCTGCCGAAGGACATCCCTGACTTCCACGAGGGGAATTTCCTCCCCAGCAATGCTCTGTCCATATAGACGAGAGAGGGTTTCTTCCAAAGAATCAGCAGACTCGGGCAAAATATTAACGCGAGTCTGTTCAACATAGCCGCTATATCTACCCCCCCTAGACCGCCGAGAGCAGGCATGTCAGGACGTCGGTATTTCTGGCGTGTTGTGTATAGCGCCATGAAATCAGACGCGACGTTGAAGTCGCTGCCCCCATATCCATCGATTGATCCAAGCCGTGGGTCACTTTGTGGAATAAGGGAGCCCATTTCGAGAGCGAATGAACGTCCCATCGAAATGTGACCATAGCCACCGTCGTCGTCATATTCGGAAAGATAAGTCTGGAGTAGACCTTTGACATCCAATGGGGCAATGTTCAGGACAGTTGTCACCCAGGTCCTGGCTCGTTCATGGAACCGATTCAGAGTCGCCCTTCTCAAAGCGTAATTGTCGGGTAATTCGACTTGGACAATCCCCATGGGAGACACCAAGGATGGCTTCCACTCAAACTCGTCGAGTTCTCCTTGTAGACAGGCAGACCACATGACAGTCAGAATCTCAAGCAAAGCGAAGAGGGAATGTTTTTCGCACAAGGCAGAAGGGCACTCGCGAATGATTTTTTCGGCACACTGCGTTGCAATACTTTGAACTCTTTCAATACGATGACAGCAGGCCACCAGGAATCCAGCAAGCTGCTTAGACAGGTAAGGGGTCGAAAAGTCATCGTGTTCCCCAGAAACTGTAAGAGACAGATAACAGGTAACCGCTTTGTCTGCAACAGCATTCATGCACACAACCATCTCCGGAGTGGCCAAGGCCGGGTCAAGGAAATAACTGAGCGTCTTGGTAGAGTCCCCTGAAGAGGCGCGGAGGCTCTCGACCAGGACCACAGCGTTAAGAAACACTGCTCTTGAATAGTCCAATCTCTTGATATCGGATTCTCGGCCGGGGAGTTCAGAAATCAAAGCTCTCTTCTGTTCCATGACTCGATGTGGCCCCATCCCGCGTCTGAGCACCGTGTTCAATTCAACATCGCTCTCCAGAGAGTCCATGTGGTTCTCAGCAACCAAAGGGGGAGAATGGTGTGCAAGAAGGCGGAGCTCCTTGTGATGCCGTTGGGCAACACTAGAACTGAGGGTTATTCCATGAATGGCGATATTGAACCAAGCATCTCGAAATAGAGCCAGGATGGCCTCATCATACCCCAAGGCTGACCAGGAAGCCCCGGGGGAATTGGAAGACACAAGCAAAGCTAGCGGTTTCAAGAGGGGAGTGATGTCATCCGCAGCAAAAATAATTTCTTTGTGCCGCTCATACTCGAGATCTGGCACATCACCCTTGTTTATAATGCTTTCCAATAAATGAACCAAATAAAGCCTGTGGAGTGGTGACTTTGGATCCAAAGTAATCGAGAGGTAAGCCATGGCGCATTGAACAGCATCAGAGACAGTGTTCAGTCCTTTGTTAACGCCATCAAGGTAGATCCGTGCATAGAACTTCAATAGAAGCTGCAACTCTGCTTGTCCGCCGCTCAGAGCAAGAACAGCAGTTTCCTGGATGATAAAGGCATCAACTGCGACATTGATCTTGCCAATCTTTTGGAGAAGCATAGACTGGGCCAATGCACTGATTTTGCCATCGTTACAATTAGTCGCAACTGTCACGATGGCATGAATGACATTCCTGTAGGTGATAGTGTCATCTTCGCCATTTGCCGAGAGCGAAGTCTGGCTTGCATT